TTTTTTTCTGAATTTGAACTTTACAGTGAAAACTTCACAATTGACAAAAACTTTTACGAGAACAATAATTGTCTCACTGTGTAATTAAATACTGTATAAAACTTTTATAAGTTTATAAGAAAGACCAAACAAGTTCAGACGGTAAACTTGTTTTTGCCAAAATCATATAAAGTAACAACAACATGAAGTAAAAATAAAGTTTAACCAATGTAGTTTAACTTTTTTAGTTAAAAGATGTCAAGTGACAGAATGTATATGATTCCCAGCTTCAAAAAACCAAACAAAACAAAGTCCAAATAAAAAATACTGTTACTGCTGTAAAGTCTGAATATTTGTTCGTGTTTTTACTTTGTTTGAGACATAATTAAGTCAAAATATTTATTTTCATGTTTCATGTTAAGTGCCAGAAACTGATTTCATGTGCGTGTGTCTGCTTTTGTCAGTGATATCTGTCCAAAAATTGGAAGAGTAGATTATGGAGAACATGTGTCCTGTCTATTTCCCTGGTGAAAAATAAATTTTTCAGCTTATTAAATGGAAAATGTGTTTTTTTTTTTGGAGCCAGAGCTTAAAAACAATTGTTGCTGTTGTCATTTTTAGTAAAATTATCAAAAATACAATTCTAACTGGATAATCACAAACCCTCACCCCAATACAGCATTTGAGAAATCTGTAAATATGGATAAAATAAATGTGACCAGTAGCAGAGTTCAAACCAATTTGTTGAACATCTCAATGGAGGACTTCAGGAAAACCTTTTGAAGGACAAAGCTTTCCCCTAGTTTTTTTGTAATTTAAATTATGACCCTGAGGCCTAATGCACGTGGATTAAATGTTGTACAAATAGCAGCTGCACAAACTTACCTCCCACGTTGTATCCCAGACAAGAGTTCTGGTCACAGTATCCCGGTGGTCCAGCTGGTCCAGAGACACCCGGATTTCCCGGTCTGCCTGCAGCCCCAGGGTTACCAGGTCGACCAGGCGAACCCTGGCTGCCTGTTCTTCCTTCGCCGGGCAGACCTGAGATAGTCGGAGTGAGTGTCAGTTGTAGAATATAAAAAAGAAAAAGGTTTGATTAAAACAACATGGCAGGGTGACATCTTCTGTGGAAGAGGAAAAAAATAAACTGAAAATGTTCAATTTAGGGTGAAAGATGTCATCAGGCTATCACTTATTCAATCTTCTCCAAATCACCAACAGCATGACATGCAGGGAGGCAAATGTTTGCTTGTCATTTCTGGATAAGGGAGGTGATAGTAGAAGTCCTGCAGGCAGGTGAGGGAAAAGTTCTCAGCTAAAAAATACAAAACAAAACAGCTGACAGCTTCTGTTTTGTTTGCAGAGTATTTCAGCATAAATCAGAAATAAGCAAAATACACTTTGTTGAGGGGACTTTTTTTTGCTAAGATTCTCATCCCACAAATATTCCACAGATACTGAGTGGATAAAGGGCAGGCAGCTCTCCTCTGTACCATTCTCTCTGCAGAGATTTAATTTTTCAAACACTGATGCTTTTGTTGGTTTTTTTTCACTACGTTTATCAGATCAGAGCAAAGTTTCCAGGGACTTTTGTCAGCTTGTTCTGTATCGATCACCAGCAAACAGAAAAAAAGCCAAGCCTGCCGGGGGACATATATTCATAACAAAAACAAACTCAACACAGCACAAAGGAAAATCAATACTAAAAATTATATTAATCGTCCACACGTCTGCCTGCTTTTCTCAGGGAGATTCTGCATAAAGAAAGCCCATAAGAGATGAGAGTTTTTGTGCATTTTAATGCCAGTGCTTAAATATTTAAAAGCTTGTAGTCTTGTTGTAGAGGGACATACAGGAGCTCCATCATTGTCACAGACTGTAAACACTGCAAACACAAAGCTTAGCACAGGATGAGATTCATTTATCACGTCTTAAAGTCACAGCTGCTTCAGCAAACACTGCCGGTGCTTCTAGATTTATCTGTAACTTACCCGGTGGTCCAGGCGGTCCTCGAGGTCCTTGAGACCCAACCCCTGGACTTCCTCTGTCTCCCTTCTCTCCAGGCAGACCTACAAACACACAGTCCAGAACATTCACTTACAAGTTACTTTTTCAGGGTCAAAACGTCAAACAGAGATTTTTAAATCCCTCAAGTTTCATGAATAATTATTGTTATTAAGTGCTGACAGTGGTAATGGTGGTGCACTGCTGTACTACATTTGTCAAACCTGAGATAAATTATTTATAATACAACAATCAGTTATCATCAAGGGTTTGAACAGGTGACCTTCTACCATGTGACAATAAATAAATTGTGTTAGATTGTTGTCAGTACTGTTGCATTTTTGAGCAATTAACACACGTCTTTTTCAAAAATAAATTAAATTAAAAGCACAGGATTTCTAATGTGTTTAGTCACACTTAACTTTACACTTTATTGTTTAATTAAATACTGGATTTCAATGAGATAGTTTTAACTGGAAATAAAGACAACAATGTCGTCAAAATGTGTATATTAATTTACATTAAACAGACATTTTACAAATATATTCTTGCCCCAAGTGTTGTTGTTGTGAAACAAAGACTTTCCCGTGTGTCATTATCACTAATTGTTTTTGTCCAAATCTCTCTGCCTTTGATTTAATCACCAAATTAACAAAGTGTGTAAACAAATAACTGCAGCAGTAGCTACACTGAATACATTTTCACTTAGTTATAAACTGTAGTTCCACAGGAGGAGCTGTTCACTGTATATCACCTGCCCCTGGTGGAAGAAAGTTTAAACATCTCAGACTTATACATTAATAAATGATGTAAACACTCTTCCGCTCGTGCCGAAAGAACTTATCCTAATAAAAAATAATAAACGGGATAGTGAAAGCCTGGATGATAATTCTAATAAAATGTGTGATAAACACAGTAGCTGGTGTGCAGCAGTTAAAACAAGCTAATAGAATATTCTTTGACACACTTTGACTGTAAAGAAGCAAATAAAATACATCTACACATTCTCCCTGCTGCTGCGGCGGCGGCATTTGTGTGTTAATCAGCTGCATCTGTAAAAAGGCAGAGTCAACAATGGACCAGAGAGAAAACAGTACAAACGATTTCAAATAAAATTTTATGATGTGGAAGGACAGCACTGCCTCCTGTGGGGCGCTGCATTTTTATTTATTTTCAGCATGGAATCCGTGTTATTAATTTAACTGGATGAAAACACACAACATGTCTGCTTTGGTGGAGCCTTGTCCTTGTTCATTCAGATTGGATGTATTATGACATCCATTATATATACATGTTCAAATGTGTGTGTATCAGTGTGTAAACACAATGACACCTCCAGAGATGCGTGCGATCCCTCAACAGTTCCTAGCTCCTGGTACGTGTCGGTGATAAACCCGGTGTAAAGGCTGTTTCTTTTCAAACGGCTCGTGGCAGAGATGATCTCATGGATACTGGCGCTACTACGTTTTCTACTTCTCGGTTCTTGGATCGACCTCGTGGGAGTTCTGACCTTCATTCTTGGTTTTTCCACCAGTGAGTCATGGAGCAAAGGCCAAAACCCTCCTCCCCAATAATATATGGCAAACAAGCAGGTACGTTAAGGCTCCAGCTGTTAGCACAAAACCCATGCTGGCGATAAAAATGCACCTCGGCATACATAATGAATGTGATTATTTTACAAAAACATTATTCGCACCAGCTGGATGCATCTGTTTATAACGGGTTTATGAAGACATATAAGAGACCATCTCTGACTGGACAGGCACGTCTTTAAAATACAGGAAAAATAAAGAATGTCGGGGCACGGGGAGCGGGGGAAGGGAGGGGCACTGCTACTAAATTTTTGTAATAAATGTCTCATTTGAAACATTTTAACTTTGATAGTTTTATATATATATATTACCTTTGTTTTCATCATTATACATAAATGACCGTAATTCATTACAGAGACATTACTTCAGTTAAAATTGATGGATTGGTAGAATGCTGCTGAAGTAGTGCTTTGCTGGTGTAGTTGATTATAAGACTGAATTTAATTCCAGGGTCGTCCAGTTACAACACAGAACATTGACTGTGGGTCTTTATCTGCAGCTTTCTTTCTAAATGGCTGGTCATCATGTCAACAGCTTATGTTTTTATTTACAAACAGTAGTAGAGAGTAGGTAAAATAACATTTTTGCTTCATTGTTTTTTTAAATAATATTTCAAATTAAGCACTTGCTATAAAGAGAAATCACTGATTTGGTCGACCTCCCTGGAATTGTGTAGCACGTTATCAGTGACCAGGTATTCCAACAAGTATGTAATCACTGCAACAAAACTTGCACATAAAATGACATAGGACACACGGGCGCTTCCATAGGTGGCGCAACAGTACACCCTAAATGACCGGCACCAATTCTGTCTACGGTAAAAAAGTTAAAAGGTCAAGGTAAACACATTATTTCCACATTTAAAAAAAAAAAGAAAATAAGATTTGCACATTTTACCTCTCTCTCCTGGTCGTCCACTCTGCCCGTTGGTACCTGGAAAACCCGGTCTTCCAGGTGGGCCTGACTCTCCCTGTGGTCCTGCAGGACCTCTCCTGCCTGGCTCCCCTGGTGGTCCAGGTACTGTTCTAACTGATACTGATGACTGAGGGATCTGGTTTAGTACTGAGTTATATCGAGACAAATGACCTGCAAGGGGTTGAAAAAAAAAAAAGATTTACAACAATTTAATATATATTAATAATATAGTTTTTAATCAATATGTTTGTCCAGAAGACATTAAATAAGTTTATTCTTAATATAGTTAAAGCCGTGTTACTCACTCTGGATGAGCTGTTCACACACTTGCCGTGCGATGGCACGGACAGCAGCTTGGGACTGCAAGTCACCCTTAAAAAACAAACAAAAGGCTCACAAAGCTGTAAGGATTTTTAAATTACACACCCACACACAGTGCACTGATACCACTTTTCTATTTGAGCAACCACAGGAGCATAAACTTCCCGACCAGTGGGTGATGTATTGGTGGGTGTGTGTGTTTTATGGTCCTTTAATAAAAGAACTCCACCTTAACTCCCCACGCTAACGTCTGCTATACATAAACTGGCCAACGGAGAAAGATCATGGTATAAAACTAAGGAATGTATAATTTGAAGTGTAATTTTAAATTGTTGTTTCTTTTTATTCTACTAAAGAAAATAATAAAGCTGAACTGCTGCTGTTTTGGTTGTGCTGTGTGACAGTAATTGCTAGAAAGCAGCACATTTATAAAAAATAAATAAATAAATAAATAAATAACCAAAAGGTAAAGGTATAGCTATATTTTAGCTATACGTAGCTAACATGATGAATATGTTGATCAAGTTGGCCTTTTATATAAAAACAATTGCTGAAGTTACTGCAAAATTGTTGTGTAACATGATACAATGCTAAAACTTTTTTTGGAGCTAGTTAAATAAAGCTCACATATTGATATACAAAGTTCTGAAAACTCTACACTCTGACTAAAAACAGTCAGTTTCTTCTGAGGCAAAGCTAAGCTAACCTCGCTAGGCCAGATGGACAACTAAGATTAACTTGTGTCTTTACATTATTTTAAATCCTATTCTCTACAGGCTACTGCAGGAATAACTGCAGCAGCAAAGACTCATCCTTACAAATGTACAGATAGGAGTTACTGCTGGTATTAAAGATGACAAGTTGTGTCCCTCCAGCTCGTACAAAGTGCTGCTCTCCTACTGTGTCAGCAAAAGTAGCTCCACGGCATATCTGCACCATGAACGCTGATTTGATTTGGTTTGTTCTAAATGAGGTTGTGAGCAAGTGAAGAGAAAGAAATGAAGTGAGTGGTTGTGCAAAAGACAGACGAGACAAGCAGTGAATGCGCGCTGTAATTTGGTTTTGGTTTCCCTGAGTGCGGAACATTAGCGAGAGATTGTGTGAGATTTACACCAGGAAAAAAACCCCCCAAAACAAACGTCATATTTTCACGGCAAAACGCAGCAATAAAAGTTGATTTGCTCTAAACAGTGTTTGCGGTATGTGAGGAGAATGACTTACTCTTTCTCCCTTATCGCCTTTGGTACCAGCAGAACCCTGGAACATAAAAGCACAGACGCAGAATAAAAACATAAGACTTGGGCCTGTATGAAGAAAAAGCCCTGCTCATCCTTTCTCCCAGGTTCCTTTAAAGCCTTAAACCCATTATTTACTTAATGCACCTTCAAACACACATCGTACTACTTTGATCTAACAGCTGCTATAATTAAATGCTTTTAAATGTTGGTTCTTTGTTCCATACACAAAGGCCTAAAGCTTGCATGTTTAAGTACAAACGGATGACTACGCCTTGTGTGTGTTCTTAGATAGCTTTGCTGTCTGCCCCGGCCTGAGCTGTGAAAAACACAGATCACAACGCACACTCAAGACCTGAGTAGTGTACAAAATCCTCTGAATGCATATCACAGTGTGTGTGTACCTACAGGTGAAGTTAATGTTCTGGTCTTTGGAATTACAGTACTGTTGTGCAGGTGAAAAAAGTATTTTCTGAGTTTCTTATGAAAAATGCCTGTAACTCAGTGTTTGTAGGAAAACTTCAGCCAGTCAGCAAGTCCAGAGCACTGACAAAGACCTTCATGTGTTAAGGTACTATTACTTTAATGAGGAAATAGATATAGGTGCAGTGGACAAGTGAAAAGTGGAACAATTAGCATCAGAGCAAACATTTTCTAAGGATTATACATTTAGTCCTGGAATATAAATGAAAAATGCAAAATGTCCTAATAAAACTGGTGTTTCCTTTGGAGAATTCCTAGTAAAATTTTGGAATCCAATTGTTGGTGCCAATTGCTCACACCTCCTAGTCTAAGGACTGAAACCAAACTCCTTTAAGAATGTATATTGACTTTGGGAAAAGATATAATAATGATCAAACTTGGTGAAGCTCTTTCTCTTCTACCATTTCCCACCAAGTCACTTCCACTGAATGTCTCACAGTGTGTCATATTGCAGGTAGGATGGTGTCTTTACTGTCACTTCAACCTTCACACTCCCGTAAACTCTCCGTCACACATCACCCCTGACTCTTGTCTTTGTTCTTCAGCTCTTTTGTACATCTAATTGCTTTCAGTGTTATGCAAATGTATCCAACGTCACTTCTCTACCCCCTTGCATCTTCACTTTTCCACCTGCCTCCCTCTCATTTTTACTCACTTTCATTGATCATGTTTTTCACTTTTCTTTTCAACATTTTCTCAACGTTCTCTGTTTGTAGTTATGATCTTTCAGCGGCTCTTATCTTGTGCTGCAGAGCTGCTGGAACTTGAATTTTCCTGAGGGAAATTCCTTAAAGAACTGATAAACTTCCAATCTGATCCAAATCTGCTCTGTCTAATGTATAATTTTTATGTTGCCTGTTTTAGAAACTCCTGTGCCAATGTTTGACAGCTGCAGATCTCCACAGTAAAAGTCCACAGAACTTCTGCATCTCCTCGAGGGAGCGAGGGCGGGGGCACATCAATGTCTAATGTCTTATTGTAATATTAAAAAAAAAAGAAAAAAGAAACTGTGATGTAATCTAATTGAATATTTTGGCATAAGACAGACAGTGACTGTCTAATCTTTGGACTCTTTTACCCCTGTCCCCTGTCTGGATGTTTTTTCAATCATAATTCTGTCTTACATCCACAGAGAGAAGTCTGTTTTTGACGACTCTCCTCCCTTCTTTAATGCTTGAGTGCAGGTTGATAAAACGGTCAAACAGACTTGAGTGTATTTTATTTTGTAACTGGAAAACATGCTTCTCTTCACTACCATGTCGAGATGAATTTAAAAAAAACAAGCTGCAGGTGGTTGAGTCTCCGGAGAGAACAATTTTACAGACATTATTTCCTTCAGCTTTTACACTCTAGGACACATTTATGACACCGCTATATGGTGGGAGTACATGACAAACCACAACATCTGGTGACAACCTCACCACCAGGTTTGTTTTTGCTTTAGTTTGTGTAATTTGTAAACGAGTATATGTGTTTACCAGACATCTCACTAATCCCAGTTCCTGAAAAAAACACACACTTGCCAAAATTGCGGTCAAATGTCAATCTGAAGTTCTGGTTACTTAATGAAAAAAGGGCTGTCAAACAATTCAGGATTTCAATTACAGTCTAGCTGTGGACGGACGGGTGTAATAATTATTAACAATCATAATTAACCACAGTTAATTAAGTGGATTAATCACAGTGAATTGAGATTGAGATAAATAACTTCAGGTAGATGCGTTACACACCCGTTTTAGTTTCTGGCTAAAAAAAAAGCTGTATTCCAAGAAATACTGTATATTTAAAGGTATAGTTGCTGGATTTCAGTCATTGCTGTGAATCTTGACATTGGCCTTTTGAATGGCTCAAGAGTTTCTTACGAAATGTATTTGTTGATCGCGCTAAATGTCTACTGTCCCTCACACCAGTGTGTCAAATGAGAGCCATTGCATTGGAAATTTTTTGAGACATCAAGGTAAATTATCTTCTAAGAATCTCTAAAAAAAAAATTTCAGTTTCAACTCGGTGTGTGGGTTGTATAATGACTGTTGCTTCTGATAGACAGAGACTAACTTTTCCAGATGGTCTGTGTCTTCTCTAACGCACCACTGTCTGGGTTCACTAGCATGGTAACACATCGGGTCGAGAATTCGACAGGGCTTGAAATCCTGTTGGTTTGAATCTTCATTTGCTGTCATGCTGTCAGTGGAATAAATCCACTGTCCTTGAACACATTTCTCAGAGCAGTTGCTCGAGTCCAACCAAACCACACTGTTAGAAAGAACTCTCGCAGGGTTTCCTCAGGTCAGCTGGAACACCATGAAACAAATGTTATATTTCCCTGCAGATTCAACGACGGCTGTTTCTGATAAAAGCCCAGAGTTTGAGGAAAGACTTTTTTTTTTTTTGGAGCAGCCACTTGGCAGAGGGTTGGAGGGGCAGAAACGAGGACTGAATCAGCAATTTCATGGTAAAAAAAAAAGTTTGATACAGAAAATTTCTGGAGATTAAAAACCGCAGCTTTTTTTGTTTGCATATAAGCTGCTTGTGCATGCGCTGATACGGGGCATCTGTGTCTGCTGAAGCTGAGACTGGGCAGATGTCATCCCTCATTGGTTTTCACTGAGAGTGTGTGTTTCAAAGTTAGTAGGAGAGTGTCGGCAAGTGATTTATAGCTCCCCCTCTCTGAGCCAAACTTTGCTGCTGGCCCACAGTAGTGACCTGAGACTAGATTAGCTGTCACCAACGTCACGGTATCATCTGTTCCTGTTAGCATTACACAAGGTCTGGAATCCAACATCTTCTCCTCCAGCCTTTTATGCCCTTGTGTTGTGTCATTAGCATCTTCCTTTTCCTTTTTTTTTTAGGTTTATCAAGTCTCAAACTAGATTTGTTTTGTCTAATAACTATTTTTTTACCAGATAATTTTCAGCCCCAAATTATACTAGTGTATCTGACAGTGTTGTGTTATAAGATTCTCAGAGTCTTTCTCATTGTTTGAAGTTTTCAAACCCATGTTTTTTTTCTCCTCATATTCTCCTCTGTCTTATCATCTTCATCCGCCCATATCACTCACTGACGTCACCAGCCTGAAAATAAATAAAATAATATCTTCTACTTACAGGAAGTCCTTGATCTCCTTGGTGCCCTGGAGGTCCACCTGGTCCTGGAGAACCTGGTGCACCTGGAGCTCCCTGAAAGGCAAACAAAAACGGGTGAAAGAGGCAGAGATGATGGATGGGTCTAGTTCTGTGAAGAGAAGTCGTGGAGGTGATGTTGAGAACTACAGACTTACGACAGGTCCTGTAGGTCCTTGTCGCCCCTGTGGTCCAATGTTTCCTGGAAGACCCTGAAAAGAAAGCGGTGTCATAAAGTCAGCAGATCCTGTTTGATGGTGACAGTCGTCGAGGGTAAAACTTTTTTCCAAGGCCTGGAGAATTTCCTTCAAGTCTCATCACACTGCTATTTTGTAATACAATTAATATTCAGGCTGCAGCTGGAAACCAAACTCAGCTGATGTCAAGGACCTGCTGTTTATTCCTGATTTGCTCCAGCTCCACAAAACGCATTATAATCGACTGAATGGATTTTCACTGTAAGGACTGTTGACATCTACATAATTTGTGTTTGTAAGTTGCCTCAAGGTGCGCAAAGCCATCAATCAACAGGTGAATGTTTTCCCCATAATGCTGTGGTCTGAGGACGACACGTGAAAAAGAAATTGTGGCTTTCACCTCAGGAGCACATTCCTCCCTGCACCAATGCTGCGGGCCAGTTCTTCTGAACGAATGACATTTAACGGCATAATCATGATATACAATAACACAATGAGTTTTTTTTTCTGTAACCTCATATTTATGGCTCATTCACATTGAACAAACATGGCAGTAATAATACGGGGCTGGGATATAATTATAGATGTTAGATCGCACTGGAAAACATATTAACCTGGGGTTCAGAAAACCATTTCATCTTGGATTTCTTTCGTACTCTGTGGTCACATGCTAAGGCTAAAGGCTGATGGAGCATAGTTAATCCATTTATACATGTCTGTTTATGTGTGAAGGTGTGAGTCGGTGTATTTCTTTCGTTACTGTATCTTGACGACGCCTTGTAAAACTGTCTTGTATCTTGACGACGCCTTGTAAAACTGCTTAAAACTGTCGTTAAAACTTCAGTAAAACTGTCCTCAACAATATTAATTAGTCTAATTCCTGCCTGTCAGCCGTAGACCTCCTGCCCTGTCTTTGGTGAGGTCTGCCCTGTACTCTGGGCAGAAGGGTTGTATTTTAAGCTTGAGTGTGGCTGATTCTGCCCATAAATTGAAATGTGTTAAAAAAAAAAAAATCAGATTAATTATTTCATCTAATTCATGATTTCAACTGTACAAATTAATTATCACACAGTCGAAGAATGACATGTTTTCCCCAAGTGAAGAACATCTCCTGTTGTTCTCCTTCCTACGCCCTCGAATTTCTACAATTTTCTGTTACCAAAAATTTCACAACACAATCTGCAAAAACCACAATCTTTTCCCCCATTCAAATCAGCAAATTCCTGGGTGAGAGTCACTCTGAAGTTGAACAGTAAACACTCAGTGAGGAGACTGCACTCGAACCACTTCTCCAAACACCATGCACTGATATCAACGTCAGCCTCAGCAGAGGAACGTCTGGAACAAGAATTATTAAAAAATCCTGAGACATCGTAAAAGGTCACTACATTCTCTACTGTGAGGGAGAGACTGAGAGTCAGGCTGTTGTCACGCTGTAAACACCAGTAAATCACGAGGAAAGCTGTAGTTGTGTGGAATTATTCCAAAGATCATCTATAAATATAGAGCTGGAGCACAAAACAGCATCAACTCAACAAAGTCAACACTGCCAAAATGAACATTGTAACAGTGTTAATGTGTTAAATCAATCAGATTGAATTTTTAATGCATTTTAACACAGTGGCAGAATCAGAAATCAGAAATGTGTATCATTCACCCGCTGTAATTGAAATGTACTGTATGATGTAAAAACAAACAAAAATAGAAAATCAGCTTTGTTTTCGTTCCTTCTCAGAAGTGAGCTTCATTAAAATGCATCGCAGCTGCTTCGTTTCAAAAGCTGAGCAGCAGCTGCTGAATAAACCACAGTGGACCTGAAGGTCTGACCTGTACAACCTGGATGTGACACACATACAGTATTGTTTGCCCACAATCTGGTGGGAAATTAAAAACCTAGTTCTTCTGCCGGGACTTTATCATCCAAAAAGTTTGACACACGTGCCACCTATCATCGTCTTTTCAGTTGTTTCTGTGATGCTGTCTGACACACGTGCCACCTATCATCGTCTTGATGCTGTGTTCATAGGTTACCACGTTTATGTTTGATTATTGAGTCTGTTTAACTATAATGGATTTTTATGAAGTCACCGTAATAATGATATGATTATTGTTTCCTGCTTAGAGAAAGATTCAAGATTCAACAAGTCTTGTTTTAAGAAGGTTCTTACTTTTACTAATGAAATAAATGACGAGAAGACATTGTTTTCTTTCAGCTCTGAACCTACTGTACTTGGCATAAAGAGAAGAAGCCGTGGCCAAACCACATGTCCAGAAGAAAACTCCACAATGAGCCTGAGCGGTGTGTAAGGAAGACAACAACAGAAGCATCTGGACCTTGTCAGCTCGTGAGCAGACAGCAGATGGATGGTGTGTAGAATTCATTCACCTTCCCAGGAAACAAGAACCAATAGGATGCAAGTACTGCGTTATCACAGAACGCATTTGGATAAAATCTGCTTCTTTCTGCTTGCCAGCACATTAAACTCCACCTGTGCTCCTTTCTCTGGTATTCACAGTCCTGCTGAGTGTTGTTAGGCCTGACTCCTCTGTCAGCATTAACTACACTAGCTGAGTCGTTGCGAATGATATTTCCCCTCTGCTTGTTCATTGGGTACGCTGCTTCAACCTGTGTTTCTTCAGTGGTGTCAGAAACTCATAATAATAATAATAAATATAATTATTATTATTATTTCTTTCTACTTTTTTAAACAAATCGTGGTCACAAAACTAAAAGTTTCCCCTAAACTCTAGTTTGGTAAAACTGACTTGGTCAGTTGTTTACAGTGATATAGTTCATGTTACCATACATGCAGCTGATGCTAAAAGATAATCTCACCCTCGGTCCTGGGGGGCCATCTCTACCAATGGAACCAGGACTTCCAGCAACACCCTAGGAAAAAAAACAAAACACAAACGGGAAGTTAATTCAACCAGAACTCATCGATCATCTACGAACAGTCCGTAGTAAAGAGACATGTGATCAGACAGTATATCTGCGATGCCTATGAATATGCAATAAAACATGTTCATCCATAAGGTCCACAGTGATAAGTACTTGCTGTCCTGTTGATTTGTGACTATAGAGCAGTGGACATAAATTTGACTCGGCACACAGGAGCAGATTCAAACCTAGGACAGAAGAGGAGACAGTGTGTATATCACCGACCACCTCCATGATCTGTCCCTGCGCCGTTCTCCCTTCATCCACCTCTCCACAGGTCAGTGCGTGCAGCGAGTCAATTCCAGAATATAGTTGTGCTTTAAGTGTTGCAGTAATTTATCTCTGTATGTCAGAATTAGTAGAGAGAGCTCATAAAACAGGGCAGTTAACAACGTTAAGAGGTTCCACAAATTACAGGACGGGGGTCACAAGGGACGGACTTGGTGTGATTAATGTCAGACTGAAGCCTAGATGTTGGCTGATGTGCAGTCTGCCAAGACATCTGTCACTGTCTGTGTCTTATTCTCTCTCTCTCTCTCTCTCTCTCTCTCCCACACACACACCCACACACAAATGATCTGTATTAGAATGCTCTGAGGGATCCTGAGGGGTCCTGTAAATATATCCACAGTTCCTGTTAGTCTCAGATGCTTTAGAAAAAGTGTGTTCAAAAGTCAAAACAAGTTAAAAGGGAAAAGTACTTCTCTTTTTTTTTCCAAACAAATGAAATAGAAGCTGGAAATAACCAGAATTATTTGGTCTTTTTTCTTTCACGTAATCACATGAAAAAAAAATCAGAAACTCTTTGTGGAGGAGTTCAACTCAACCAATCAGAATCACTAGTTCTTAAACTGATAAGAATTGTAATCTAAAGAAATGAGGATGTGACTTAACTGACGTTTCTACATCTGAAATATCAGTTTAATGGTATCAGAATATTGATGTATATTATCAGGTCCAGGCGTTGTTTAAAAATGTTGTTTAAATTACTGCCACATACACGAGTTTTTCTCCAGTCCTAAAAAAGTGACTGCTGGATAACACCAGTCTGATAAACAGAATGAAAGTGAAAAATTGGAACGATGGACACACACACACACACACACACACTCACAAACTCATAATCTGTGGCTACATTTTTCATTGTCAAATTGAAACAGCAACAGTAGCGGAAGTGCTGCTGATGACAAGGTTACACTGTATTTACTGCAGAGAGAGAGAGAGAGAGAGAGAGAGGATGGAAAAGAAAGAAAGCAACAAAAGTAATTGATGATTTGGAGTTGCGATATTCTCTGTGGTCCCTGTATATTACAACAGGGCCCAAGGAGCTACAATATCCCCCCACTGAGGTAAACACACACACACACACACACACACACACACCTTTGACAAAACACATTACTACAGCGTAATATAGTGCAGACGAGGGCAGAGCACTGCTGACTTTTATTAATAGGCCTTTACACAGAGTGAGAGTTTTTAGCTGTTGTGAGTTGATTCAAGGACTAGTTCCTGCTCAATTGACTGGCTATGGCCGACTCTTAAAGGAGTTCCTCCAGCAACCCTAAAATCAAGTGAGTGGCATTTATGGATCCTTGGAGCACAGAGGGAAGAGTGGACGAGTCCTGTCTGCAGCTTCTGCAGTTAAAAGTGGGTTTTGACAGTATTTAAATAACTCACTAACTAAACTGTGTCAGGTGATTTTATTATGCATTTACAATTACAAAAACATAAATATGCGTCCCAAGCTTGTAAACCAATAAAAATGAATCTACTGTCAACGTATTCTTCCTGTAGCAGGAACACAAAGCAGCACGGCGTCACAGTGCAGTGGCACAGTGACGGCAAATAGACTATTAGATATACATGATGAGATATCAGTGATCATTGAAGTCGGGACTGAAACAAGGCGTGGAAAAGAAATTAATTCTCTCCTCTACGCTCTCTGCATGAGCTGTCCCTCTCACTTTACATTTTACAGCGTCAGCTCCCACCGGAGACTCACGCTGCAGCTGAGTTTGACTTAAATAAATTGTTTATGCATATTTTACTACTGCAGTGGTATCACTGACTAAGGCAGTGGGGAAAAATGCCCACCGTTGTACCTTTAAAGACACAAACATGAACACAAGTCTATTCACAGAAATGAACATGTGTTTTTCTGTCCCTGGAGTGGAGTGAGAAATTGATGGTGGCTTTGGGAACTAGCTCATTGAAATATCGGTATTTTCCATAAAAAGCACTGAATTCAATGCACCTGAAAAATATGTAGAGTCAAAGAATAAAATGCCAAACTAGGCAAATGTACCGCAACCAACAGCACAAGACACAACCCAGACCTTTTTGTAACGTAATAAAGTTATATAAAATATTAAATCATGCATCAACCACAAAGAGCAAGTAATTCCTACTGACTATTATTACAATGTTAACAGAAACTAGCTAAAAGCTTAAATCATCAATCACCAAAGGCAACGCTGAAAGGGCCAAAGCATTTAGTTTAAATTATACCTATAGTAAAAATGAGCATTTAATTTCATAATGGTTGTTTTCATTTTTGCCTTCAAGTGCATAAATGGTGTTGCAAAAATGTTTTTATTGGTTCTAAAATGTTTTTTTTTTATTTCCTAAAAGCTATAATGATACCGTATGGACATAAGTACACACCAAATTAAACACTGAAAAACAAAAAAAAAAACAAAAAAAAAACATAAAAGACGTAGGACCATAAAAGACTGTTATTTTTCTGTCTCACTGACAGCGACCTGAGTCTTTGAAGGACAGCGCTTAACTCAGTCTAGAACACTTAGACCTGCAGACTGAGTCAACTGTGCACTGCATCATAATCTACTCTATCAGTGAGTGAGTGGGATGGAACTGACTGAGCTTTTAGAAACACTGCCCCCGCACTCAACGCTAAACCAACCATTTGTATCCATCACCACAAATAAATTCTACCCAACCAAGTGTCCCGTGACTTATCATGCCGTATTTAACAAGTACTGTTCCTATACTGGTGTCGGGAGTGGTGTTTTACATGGGTCTTACTCTTGGTTTTCTGGGGAAACTGAAATCATTGCTCGCTAAAGCTCAACAAAGAAGACAAATTACTTGAAAATGGATTCAGAAGCAATCCCTCAAAAACCACCAAAGGCATCACAGTATAAGGCATGCTAGATGTTGAAGCAGCATGTTACATGTCACATAACAAAATGGACCCCAATGCAGCAGAAGACCAAGATCAGGTGCAAAAAGTACATAACAAAATGGACCCCAATGCAGCACTCAGAAGACCAAGATCAGGTGCAAAAAGGTTACTTAGAAAGTCAAAATCAAATGATATGGGCAACTTACAAGAGCCAATGGTGGCTGCAAATATGTGGTATTTCAGTCTCTTTGCATTGACTCTGATATTTAATATTTGCTTTTCCAAAAACTAATACATCCAACTCTCTGAAGTAATCAAGTTGGATCCAGTTTCACATGTCCCACTTAATTTTCTGCATGTTGCTAAGGAAACATGTCGTCACTGTCTTCTTCCACCTTCGATCAGGTTTGACATTTTTAGCAGCAGTGCAGCTAACAGGAGCGGTGTAGAGATTAGCATCTGGTGTTTACCCTGTATTACAACAGCTTAGACAACGAAAAAACCACTTCCTTTGTGTAACTCTATTCAGGTCTGTAATATTACTACAGTACTTAAAACCTCATACACTGCACTAACACCTCCATATAAACCACTGATATGTCTGTGCTGCTCCTGGAGAGTTTTATTTCGAGGTCTAAAGTTAAAATGACTTTGGGTATGGAAGGTTGCAGAGTCCTGTCACATTGACTTCATGTGTGGTCAGTGAAGCCTTAGAATTTTTTTTTTGTTTGTTTGTTTTTACCAGGAATATGTGTTGACACATCTATAAAAATATTGTTTGTTTTGTGCCTAGCACCCGTATTCCTCGTACCAACACATCAAAAGTGAGTCACAGAAATATCACTGCTGCGGTGCCTCATCGGCAGGAATTTTAGTCGTGGTCCCGTCAGGTTCTCCCACGGGGGAGGTGATGCTCAGGCCCTGTCAGAGCTGAAATACCTGCAACCTGAGTTTGACTTTATATTTACTCTGTCTCTCTCTCTGTCTCTCTCTGTCTCTCTCTCTCTGCTATCAAGCGCATCTTCTCCTCACCTTACAGTCATCATTTTTCATCCTCCAAATCATCAGCCAACACATCATTAGTGTCTAGACAAAATTTTCAGTGTCCACCCACTGAGTCCGAAATGCCACCAACATAATTTGTTGCACTGCCCCCATTATTTCCAGCGCTCCAGGTTTTTCGTCACACGCGAGCTCAAACAGAATGTCACTACGGCAGACAAATTTACCAAAATACAAATGAATAATCTAATGTGTGTCTTCTGGTCCGTGTGCCGAGTCCTGATTTTCAAACTTTTTATTCAGGCTGTAAAACAAGCAGCAAATCTTTTCTTAACCAACTCACCAACATCTGCAAAACTTTATGTTGATTAGTGGACAGACTGAATTTGTTCATTTTCCTAAAAGTCTAGCGTTACTTAACCATGTAAATTACCCAAAGATATAATAAAATAATTGCTAGTATGTAGTTAATGGTACACTGACTCTGTCCTTGTTGAAGACCGCAGCTCACTGAAGAACAACATTAAATTAATTCAGTCTTACATCTGATTGGTTCACTGTCCATTAATGGAGATTGTTATGCACATCTCAATGACTCCATTAGCTGCTCTGCATACGTGTGTAAGAGAAGGTGTGTGTACGTGTGTGTGTGTGTGTGTGTCCATGCAGATGTGCTAAACACTACCCTTGTGTTCATTTCTCCTGTCGCCTCCACCTCCTGATCCCTCTGCTCTCCAACTCATTTATATGACGTGGATGGAAAATTATGAGAGAATTATGAACAGCGTTCTATCTGCATATTATTCCAATTCATCTCAATATTACTTAGTAATAATAATTAATTGTATTATTAAAATAAAGATTGAAGAGTGCATTTTCAAAAAACTGAGCTTTTTTTTCCATCTGTGGATGACATTGCTCCACTCGAGGAGAGGGGCAGTTTTTATTGCTCCACACACCACAGCGCTAGGCCACAGGCTGCCTGTGTTATAATGACTATGGCAGAAATTAAGTAATTTAAACATAAAGGCACAACAGCATGATAATATGGATGATTAAACGTGAATCCCATTTCACACCTTGTGTCTCCTATTTAGTTGTACCATTTAATTTTACTGTGTATATACACACACACACACACACACACACACACACTTCACACTCTATGGTTTCTTGCTCCAGACAACAACACCCCAGGTGTCAGTGCATATCAGACCTGTTGTAAACTCTCTCTGGATTTTTCTTTTTAACACAGTGATGCTGAGAATTCAACCCACAACCTCATCCCTGTATCTCACAGGCACGCCTGTGTTTTTATAAAAAAAATTAAAAAATAAATAAAAGTGTCTCACCATTAGTCCAGCAGGGCCGATGTCTCCTCTGTCTCCCTTCGCTCCAGCAGCTCCCTGTAAAGCAAGCAGCGTCATGACATCACAGCTCAGCTGGACCGGTGATCACAGTAACAGCTACCAGAGGAAAAGTGGGGAAGCCCTCCATCAGTTATCTTAATAAAACGGCAGGACACCAGCAGTCCAGCAACCTCGGCAGCGTGTTGTTGGACGCAGCCCACGACGTGTGCAGACGTCTACGTGAGTTGTACAGTACATCCACATTTGTCAGTTTATACTGGCAGCTCGGTGACAGCTCGGTGCTTAGTCCAATTATTATTATGCACATATTTTGTGGCCTTAAAGCAGACAGGTGGGATTGGAGCGGCTCAAAACACACATTTTGTGGTGACGACTCCATCATAATTTAATAGAGAAATTATGCTTGGAACCAGCAAATGATATTTGTCTTGATCCTGGATACAGTTCTGGGATCAGTTTTATTTGCTAAAGTGTTTTTCCTTTGGAACTACATCTCAACATTGGATCCATGTTTGTTTCTGCAGATAGAAAGAAAACTTTCTTATTGGCACATTTTACATCAAATAGAGTAATGTGTTATAGTTTCAATCCTAACCCTAAGACAAATATTATAAAGTTATATTTTACCTCTGAAATATCAAAAAGTTTAAACACTAGATAAAACAAAATCTTAATATAAATAATGAATTACTAGAAAATTGTTTCGCAAAATAAAATGCATTATCTTTTAGAGAAAAGGTAAGCTGCATTTTGGAAAGATTATTTCCTTCAAATGATATTATGGTGGTTATAAAGCTGTTGAATTTGTTTTTCCAGTGTATTAAATGTCAGTTATTCTTTTATTTCAAATCCATTTTAAGAACAGCTACTTACAGGAGGGCCTTGAATGGTGAGTCCACTTGGTCCTTGGGGACCAGGTGGCCCTGGGGGTCCAGCTGGACCATTCTCTCCCACTGGCCCTTGAGGTCCCTGCAAAGACAACAATGTTAATGTATTGTATTAACTTTAATGACTAGGAAAAAGCAGTTTTTCCTGTAATGAACTTTCTGTCAGAAACAGAAGGATCTTGAACATACTATAGACCGTCTGTAGACCGTCTGTAGACCATTTGTATGCCACCATGGCTTTAGAACAGTAAGTTCACATAAGTCATCTTGAGCCACATTTGAACCACAACAGGGAAATGATGGAGACATTTGTCTATTTTGTCATCTGTTTCTGTCAGTGAAGCAGCTGCTTTGATTCATCTGTGTCATGAGCTGCAGACTGGGTTTTTGCTGAAGGAGTCAGGAAAAAAAAAGAAGAAGAAGAAATTCCTGTAAACCACCACTGATTTGATGCATTAGTGTTGTTGGCTCAGCAGCAGAAGGAGCCAAAGTAATCTACGCTCCGACTGTATTTATTGTTTTACTGCTCAACCATACAAACACTGAACTCAACTTTGTCCCATCCATGCAAACAGTCAGAGGAAACCATTGGACTGAAACCAGGGACTGAAACTGAAATGTCTTGATTCTACTTCGACGATAAACTTCACAATAAAGGACAACGGCTTGAAAAACGTTTTAAAATCAATTCTCTACTCTTCCCCCAAGCCACTGTCCAGGTGCTCAGTAATGACTAAAATCCACCAAGTCTTTGGATTAGTCACACATATACAGCAATATACAGAGACAAAAGGTTTTTGTCATAGTTATAGATTAATCACGATTAATCGTGATTAATGACAATTATGATTATTCATGACTATTGTTGGGGATATTCATTTATCTTGATTAATCATGAATCATTGTAATTAATCACAGTCATTATTAACCTGAAAAATCAGTTTCTATTGCTATTGCTAATGCTTGAAACATAGCAGTAGAAGACTGCAGTAACCAGGGCATTGACACCAGTCCTATTGCTGTTAGGGCTGTAATGGGCAATAGAAATCTGATTGTCACAAATAGCCTTATTTTTCTTTTTCCTTTTTTTTCTGAGAGCTCATGTCTTGGGTGCTATAACACAATGCTGCCATGGGCAGTTAGACGGTGGTGAATATCAGAAACTGCTACTCACTGTTGGGAGCAGACTGATTACACTGAAGAGAGCCAATCTAGTACACTCAAAAATACAACTAAACCAAAAGAACTGTACGAAGCTCCATTATTACAGTACACATGCATACATAACCATACTGACATTACACTGGTGTAAGCTGAGTGTGCACCGTGTGCTTCATATCTGTGCGTGCACAACAGAAAACCACCACATAATTGCCTCCATCAAAGGCAACAAAAATGGTATATTTTGAGTGTTCCGTCAGTTTGAACCCATCTTGTCAAAGCTTTTCAATCTTCTCGGAGCGTTTCATGCCAGCACTCCATTCTGCATTCAACAGAGATAAAGACGGACACACGCTTGAGATAAACAACCCTGTTTTCCTGATTGGCAGCTGCTCATTTATGTGCAAAAAAGATCAGAATGATGATGCTGCTGGGTTTTTTGTTTTTTTTTTCAAAAGGCTGTTTGAAAGCATTTCTTGAAAAATCAGTGATCAAAGCAAAATCATGGGACCTTGCTATTGGTCTGAGGACATTTCCAGCTACATCAATTTGTACTGACTTCCTGTGTTAGAAGAAGCATTCATTCAAATAACTGACTAGACCAGGGGATGGGGTTTGATCTGCTGCTATCAATCATTTTTGTAATGGGTTAATTAGAATAAAAGTATTAATATATTAAAAAAAATAGATATATAGAACATTAAATGAAGGATAACATATAAATATATAAATATATATTGTATAAAAGATATTTTTCTGCTCCATGTTGTTTGTGATCCTGGCCTCATGTGCGTCATGGAATCAGTCAATGTAAAACACTGTAGTGGAACCAATGTTTAGTGGCTGCAAAATTAATTTAAAATGACATTTCAAAAATTCAAGTTATGAAAACTGTAATGAAATAACAGGCGAATAATTGATGATTTATTAAAGCTCTAATTATTATTTTCTTGGAAAGCAGACGTGTGAGTTCTACTAAAATCAGATTGTAATTGAACTCTACTTGACAGAGAGCACATCATGTTCACATGGGCTCTGTTTCATTCATGTTAGATGACGGGCAGATGTCTTCACTAATACTTAGTAAGTGCTGCAAAAAGATCTGACAAAGCTTTGATCCCACGTCCTCTGATACCCAGCTAGTTTGAAAATACGAGAGAAAAAATTCTTAGAAAATAATGTAAGGCCTGCACATATATATTTGAACAATGCTTTTATCCACAGAGGAGTTTTCCTGAGTGAGAAACACACAGTCCTGCACTTATTCTTCCTCCAGGAATGTTCGAAAAGATGCTAGTGCATTTTACTCACTGTTACTCCTGGCTCTCCTCTGTCTCCTCTGGCCCCTCTTATGCCTGGACCACCCTGAAACACAGGAAAGACAAAAAACACCACCATAAAAAAACAGGACAAAATCAATATTTGCAAGCTCTCTGTCTGAAAAGAGCAAAAACGAGGGAAGAGAGAGGGAGAGGGGGAGAGAGAGAGAGACTCTCAGATAAATTAGAAAACTGGAGTCATTTTTAAAAACTCTAATAAAAGTGGAAATGTAGAGCTGTGGCAGGATTATAAATATGATAGTCAGTTGTGACCTGTACTGTAAAGTGTCCCTCTGCGAGCTGCACTTTATTATTCTTGCATCTGTGTGTAACAGCCGCAGGAGTCTGTGGCGGTAAACCCTGTTCTGACCTGTCTCTGGTCCAGAGGTTTATCCAGGGACACGCCGAACACATCTGTTAATCATCGGCCCTTTTGGGATACATTCATTTTTCTGTGTTTGCGTTAAAAAGTCTCCCCCTGGGAACAATGTGGGGAGCTAAGTAGTTCCTAGAGTATTTGATCAAAGAGCACAACGTGATTGGGAGGTGGTGTTGGTGGTGGCAGGGCAGGAGGGTTAGGAAGAATGTGGAGATCTTTGTAAATAGTTTCTTTGGCTAACCTTCAACAATGTCCATAAGAAGTGACAAAAAAGTTCTGTAATAAAATTTAACATATTTCTATAAAGCATCAACCTAATGATTTTTATTTATTTATTAGAAAACGTCCTTGTGGAATATCATATTTGTTCTCAAGTACTTTCGGTTCCGTAGACTTTGCTGCAGGGTAACAACGTTAAAGCTGTGAGTCCTGTAGCTTTATGTCAGCAGTAGCTTTTGCCTGATGTCTGATGAACAAAAGGCTTTTTTCACTTGATAACATCCATCAACACTTAAGTGGTAATATGACACAGATGTAAAGAAAAAAGTTACAGTGTACAATTTCTTACACCTTTGTGCTTTAATTTATGCCTCAGGTAGACGGAAAACAAAGATGAGAAATAAAGAGTTTTTCTTTTTAAATTCATGTCAACATTGTGAATTTACAAATTTATGCCTAAAGATTTATGCCAAAAACACTTGCTATTCAAAATGACTTATTTTGTCTATAAAATTACCAATTTGTTTGTGAGTTGTATAAATGGATTTTTTGTAGCCATGATTTTCTGGGGTGCAGTAAAACCTGGAGAGAACCTTAAATAAGCTGTTTAACATCAGCAGAACAAACGTTGGGATTTTTTATTGTCCACTAATGGAAAAAAAGGAAAATATATCACTGCTCCTTACTGAGCGATTTAATGCTATTGGGCAAAATGACAATTTTGAGCCTCTTTAAGATGTCAAACAGCAGAGGCACAATAACGTTTTGACAAACAGAGATGCTTTCACCGAACGTCTCCTTAATGTCAAATTGATTGCAGACTGATGCTTTGTATTGAATCGAGTCTGTGCCAAATCACGCGAAACAGGCTGCAATTCAGTGCAGGCAATCAATATTATTTCAAACAAGACTAAAAGTTTTAGAAAAGTGCAGAAACGGCTCCTGGGCAAGAAGGAGATCATTAACTGTGAACAAAAGGATTGAGAGACACATTCTCTCGGAGAAGATACTGTTTTGCAGATTTGCCTTTGTTGCTATAGCGCAAAATGTTTTCTTCAGTACTAAAGAAGTAAGAATAAGTCAGGACATCCTTTCTATTTTTGAAGTAGGGAGGCAACTGGTGTTATGATTTCTCTGCTCTACAGCTCGTTCTGTCTCCTGGTAGCAGCGCTTTGTGTGTTCAGACATCACATCAGGTTTCCCCACAAAGATCCAAGTATTTATTTCACTGTGTGCAAAATCTCGTCAGCAGAACAGCACATTCAGCGTGCAGTCGATGTTTTTACAGCGATTCTCTCAGTTTTCATAGTCAGTAATGATCCTCGATGTTTCCCTGTCTGTATTACTCTATTACTCCGTTTGCAGGAGATAAACTATATTTACTGTGTTAACAGCCACTGTGCTGTTCCACGAGGGGGACTGCGTCGACTTTTCATCCATTTCTCAAAAAAGCTCAGTGTGTGCAGCACAAAGGAGACAACGATTTTGTCAATAAACCATTGGTCTATGGCTATATGCTGCAGTTACAGTGTGATTTAAGAAGCCTGGTCAGAGGCAGAGGGAGGAACCAATAAAGACGGAGCGAAGGACGAACGCACGCAGAAGAAGAAAAGAGGCAGAGGGAGGAACCAATAAAGACGAAGAGGACGAATGCACGCAGAAGAAGAAAGGAACGAAAACAAAATGTCTGGGGCTTCAGGAGGAAGTGGAGGCAGAAGAATGAAAAGAAGAAAATGGAAAGAAGGAAATACAAAATCCAACAAACAACATGGTGAAATATAGTCACTATTGTTTTATGTGAGGTAAAGAGATAAAGAGATGAGAGTTGGGTTGAATTCACTTAATTTAGCCGTACAAACACAGGCTTGAGGAACACTCGCACTGAACTGTCAAGATGTGTCCTTGAGTCTCATGACAGTGTCTGTTTTCCCTACTGTAAAATACAGAGTTGAAAATGTATGTCCTTAATGTCAGACAAATGGAAAAAAATGTACTGTATAAACTACGTTAGATGCAGTGAATGTTTGAAGATGAAAAACCAAAAGTATTGCCAAAGCTGAAAGGGACAGATAAAAAGGATACAGAACCGTCTTTAAAAGTCTGGAAGAAGAAGTAAGACCCCACGACAAGGGAAGGTACAGTCAATTCTTGCTGTACAAACAACAGGAGACATTCCTGCACAGTGAACCTTCAACTGTCATTTAAATACAAGACTTGATGGATTGATGATTGATGATTCAATAACTAAGCAAACTCTCACCTTTAATTATTTTTCCTCCATGATGATGCAAAGTCAAATCAGTCAGAAAACTGAGTAAAACAAATGAGGTTTGAGGTGGACGGGACGGTGATGAAAGGACAGGATGAGTGAGTGGATCTATCTCATCAGGCAGGGATGAATACAGGGGGGATTTTAATGGGCCGAGGTGATAAACTGAATTGCTGTGTAATTACTGGTGCTGATCCACGTCCTCCCCTCTGCCCTTAGCCCCAATGGTTGCAGCAGGAAGGAAGAGAGAAAATTTAAGGCAAGAAAGTAAACGATATGAAGGTTAGAGGTAAAGGAGAGAGCATGAGTCCACGGGAGGAAGAGAAGAAAGAGAAGACAGAATCCAGACAAAAAGTCTGAGGCTGTAAATGAGCTCATTTACTTGCTCTCAGCCTCTATCGGGTTATACCTGCAGCTGCGTGACAGGAATACTGCTGGAGCTCAAGATCATTTCTCTCTCCCTGACAAGAACCACATCAATAAAACACTTTAGGATTTACTGGGATCGAAAAAAAATCTTCCTTAAAAGCCAGGGCTTTGATGTTATAATTATTACTGGGAGATGAAAATGATAAATAAACAGTGACTGCCATTTGGTTCCATTAAAATATACAGACCATTGTATGAGTATAAATGTTTAATCTATGCCTTATCTTGATGTGCTCACTCCCAAATGTCCTTGAGGGACAATAAAGATTTTGAAACAAGCCGTTTGAATTTCAACCCAGTTTTCTCAGGAAGTTGCCAGTGACAGACCAACTTTGAAATTTACCACCTCAGTCTGAAAAGTTTCTCTGAAAATAAGATCAGTCAGTCAAGGTCAATGCACAAATAACTAAGGGACAGGAAGAAGGGAAAATGCAAAACCCAACAGGCCTGTAAAAAAACAAAAAACTGAGAGGAACCGAAACAACAAACATTCATTTTCATCTATATTCTGTTGGCTACACACTCAGGAAAGTGCAAAACACACATTCTACGCAATTACAGCTACTACTGTAACATTTTAGGATTTTCTTGGCCCTGTCATCTGATCGGTGGACTGGTTACACCATTTGCCTGTACTGGACTTTCATAGCTAACGTTAGTGGACTGGTTACACCATTTGCCTGTACCGGACTTTCATAGCTAACGTTAGCTCTATTTTGCAGCAATATGTTTTGCCTTGAGCTGATAGCATAGGTGATAAGAGCTGCTGTGGTAAGATAACTATTTGTTGCACAATCAACACACAACTATGCTGTTATTGAGGCTGCAATCAGGAAGATAAAAAAAAGTGATGCAGTTGTGTATTCCATCTGTGCTCTTGTGAGACCTAAGCAACAAAAGGGCACCGTCGACACTCACGATAACAGAATGGCGCTACTCCACCATGGAAAAACAACACAGAAATACTTTCTATAGGAAGACAAAAAGAAAAAGAAAAAGTCCAACACAAAATTGAAACTGCAGATAATGAAGTATGAAGCCAAAAATGTTCACTAAAATTTTATATGTAGTGTGAGAAAAAAAACAACCTTAATAATAAAATAATCTTAACATAAACATACACGTTTTTCAAACAATAAAGACATGAGAGGAGGTCTTACAGGGGGTCCGGTGGGTCCTGGGGGTCCTTTGCTGTCCTGGGAGCACGTGCAGGCGTGAGGCATGGCTGGACACTGCTCTTCAACTCTCTGAAACCCAAATGCATGTCGGCATAACTTTTAGGCAAAACAATTGTGTCTGAATTTTAAATAGCTGAACATCTCTTTGAAGTGATGGTATATTTTCGCCTGGAGCTTCATCTGACCACTGTTGTCCTCACACTCGCACAATTTGGACAGACGTGTGTGTTTTGTGCGCGTTTCAAAGACAGCAGCGCTGACTTTCAGCGCGCTCATTAGTAAAATGAACGCACATAAATTAAACCGTTGCCATCACCAGTCAGTGATAATGATCTTGGATTTGGAACAGAGTCCAAATAATTTGGCTTTAATCCTGGATTCATCAAAAGTCAGTTTGATTGTAACCACAATTATCATCAATATCAGTATCTGACAGTGTAATAGCAGGGGAATAATAGCATTATGCAATCACACAGGAACACGGAGGGATACAGACGTGAATATAAATGTCTGTGCATGTGTCACTATGTGAGAGAATTTACAACAGTGTGTCTAAAGTGGTGGGTCTTGACCTAGAGTTGAACACCAGACTGGAGCATTTACACCATTACACCAGGTTTTTCCCAATAGTGCAGCGAGGCTGTTGTCTTGTCTGTTTATCCTGGGTTTGTACGTGAGGTTAAGTTTATTTTATGAACTTCTGTGGTTTGAAAGCTGAATAGAAAAAAAAAAAACAGAAACTCAAACATATACTGTTTATACCTGTTTAAACAACAGTATACAGAGTGTGCATTTAACTCTTACCAGTGCTGGAAGTTCACAACACTTATCTCTGTTGGCCCAGGATGTGCTGCAGATGATGTCAAACATCTGGAGCTGGAACTACAAACACACACAGAGAAGAAGACGTGGTATTATTTCTTTAACTGCAGCTGCCTGACATGTTCTTTAGACTACAGAAAAAAAAAGAAGATGTGACCCACAGTACGAATCTTTGATGATTTTCAATACTTTTGACATAATATAATACAAAATAATAGCAAGGATGTGAGTTGAGTGATTATTTTTATGATTCAACGAGTTTGTTCTGCTATATTTAGACTTAAGCAGCAATGTTTTTTTTCATAAAAAAGGCATTTTAAAAACATATCAAGCTCTGTTGTAGTTTTAATTTGTTTTTTCTAGGAAATGTATGCCTACGTTTTTCTCACTTTTTGTCCACTAAACATATTTAGTTCGCAGAAAAACAATCACAACTTATTGCAACAATATTATAAATGTTCCTGACCAGTTAAAACCAGTCAGCAACACAACACACATCAGTCCAATCATCTGCTGCCCTTTACAGGTTGTACTTCATACTGACTGGAGCAGAGCTGTCCTGTAGTCCTCTGGATCGAACCATTCTTCCCAGGACCTCCACGCCGTCAGTGGTGATGTTCCCCGCTGCGTTGATGGATTTCTCTCCAATCACAGAACAATCTAACACCACCTTTACAGACGTCTTACTGATGATCACATGGAGCTGGATGGGCGACACAGAGCAGGCAGCATTAGCAATCATGATGTTCTTCAGCCGTGGAACCACAGACTGCCTCTCTCCTTTATTCACTTAGACATTTTCTCTTTGTTGTTCAGCCTGTGGCACTGAAAGTGTTGAAATAATTCTATGAGAAAAAACGATTTAGACTGTATGTCTCTAATTGATCCCCAAAGTGCTGACCTGACATTAAACTGACCTCAGCACTGACACTGACATTCAGTGAAAAGATGGCGTTAATGTGGAGTTAGACAGAGTTCAAATTCAAGTCGAAGTGCCTCGTTCTTTTCCACCCTTTGTTGGCTGCTTCATAATAGCTCTCTGTTCTGTATGTGTGTATGTGGATGATAGTGTGTGAGGTGTGAGTCGTGACATCTGAAAAGATGAATACAGTTGTTTCAGATCCAATTAGTTGGTAAAATATTAACAATGTTCAATCTAGTGATATTTACTTTAATGTTTGCTAACCATGTTTTAGCCATTTAGCTGTCGATTAACCGCTAATCTGTTAGCAACTGCTAAAACTCTTTATATTTGTTGTTTTTAAGTATTTTACTGATTAATTAACTAACATAGCAGACAAGTAATATGTAGATACTGTAATTATAAATAACAATAGAAAATAATAATAGAAAATAATTTTTAACACCATGTTTTTGTCATTCACTCTCTTCCTCTCAGGCTGTTTTTGCCTTTAAACAAAGTCTGGACACTACTGTAGAACTCAAGAAACAGCCTCCAAATTGTCATAATCTGGTGCAGATTAAACATAATAACCAGAAAACTGGTATCCATTTTAACATGAAAAAAACAAACAAACCAAAAAAACAATAAAAACCAGTTTGCACAAGTGATGGGTTAAATATGAGCAAAATGTGTTTTCTCTGCCTGCTGCTGCTGTTTGAATGTCAGATGACTTCAAGCTGTCTACGAAATCCATCCACAGATAAAACCACCACCAGCTCAAGATGGATGCATTAATGATTGTGTTGCTCTTGTCTAAATGAATCAGCAGCATCTCCGTTCTTTGGATCTCTGCATCACTGGTCTTCTTTTATCATTTTGAAATGGAAGATGGACGACGGTTTTGATTTAATAAATCTCTGACAGAGCTACATTATCTTTTCCATGTCGCACATATTGGAATAGTAATCTCACAAAATGAACGACACTACTGGTCCAACAGTAAAATCTGGGAGCTAAAATAATTCAGATGTGGACGCGGAGAATGTTTTTTATTCATATTTGATGAAACAATGCACATTATTGTTCCCGCAATGGACATTCGTCATGGTGTCAAATGCGAACTTTGAGCATCACACACTGCAGCAGTACACAATCACATTTTATAAACAAAACACAGACTGTGGATTCCCCCATCCCTCTTCATATGTAAACTACGTACCACATCAGTAATACCAGCCAGGCTGTGACTAAACCCTTGGGTGAGATGAACTATATGGAGTGCAGAAGCATCACTCATGTATTTTTCAACATCTTCCACTACAATAGGGCTTAGGTCAATTACTATTATTTTGAGTTGGATGAGATTTCTTTAAAACCCTCTTCGTTTCCTGAGGGCAGACTCAGTGTGTGAGTTTGGAGACTGCTGGATAAAAGGACTCCATGCTGGAGTCAGCTCCTCTGCATGGGTCTGTTAGACAGCAGTGATGTCATATGTAATAGAGTTTGTAGCTGCGATGAATATAGTCTTGGTCTTTGTGGTACTACTTCAGCTGGTGCCCTGTAGGTAGGGACTTGTACTTCACAGCCAGACTTGGACTTGTTTCAACAAAGAATGTATTTTAAAAGATGAAACTACTCAGTGAACTATCGCACTTCACAGGGAAATTAAAAATAAATATTATTTCTTTCATGTTTTTTTTTCATTTAATATTCTATGGATTATCATCTAAACCAAGGAAAAAAATATTTTTAGTGCACCTACACTAAAGAGAGAGAGTGAGAGAATGTATAAAATTATGTTTCATAATGTGTTTAAACCTACTCTGATTTTACAATTATAATATAAGTTGCAAAGAATCCAAAGGTTCATAAAGGTATGAATTAGCATCCTCACCCTCTCTCACCCCTGTGTAAGTTCAGCACACAGTTCAGAGCAGTGGTAGAGTCAGTGAAATAGCAGGCGGAGGAAAACAAACCCCTAAACTGTTATGGCAGTTTTTTAAACACACCGTCTGAGATAATGTGAGGCTATCAGCATTTCAGCTGAAAAAAATATTTTTAGTGCACCTACACTAATGTATGTGTGTGTGTGTGTGTGTGTGTGGGTGGGTGGTACAATTCTGTGCTGGTATGTGTGTGGGAAATGTACAACTTAACTTCTCAAGCTGGCCACGCCACAGAAACGGAGGAAACAAAACTGAAGGATAATATTTCTGAGCAGAAGAAAAAAAAAAGGTTTTTGTGCTGATGTCGTTGAAAAAATTAAATTAAAATTGCATTAAATTGCATATTGCAATGGCACTTTTTCAGTACTAACTGGAAAACGTTGAGAAGTTCTTTTTGGGGGGTGGGGATATTCCCACTTATCACCTCATAAACACACAGACACACTAGAGGAATGCAAACAAATTTCTTTTGGTTTATATTATTGTTATAATACTGTATTGTATTTTGTACTTACAGTATGTTTTTATATGTGCTAAAATAAAAAAAAACAAACAAACCCTCTCATAGTGATATTAGTACAATCATTCTGAACACAGGACTGTATCCAGGTAAAACCTGCTTCAAACAAATCAGTTGGAGTCAAGTCAAGATAAACACTCTGTGGATATCTCAAGGAACATGAGATTAAACTTTCACCAAATTTCACCAGGCTGTGCAACAATCCTGCCTCCATTTGCATTAAAAAACAGGACAATAAAACCTCACCGTATTTCACCTGATCTACTGTGTACTACGGCAGCGTCCAGGTCCTACATCCTGAAGCCCTACATAACGCAGAGCAGACACAGCTCTTTCTTTCTTTTAATCTCTTGCTTATGTATTTTTTAAAGAAGCTTCTGGCACAGTTGGAGCCTGCCTCATAATGGAGGAGTGCAGTTTTAACAGTAGTTTTTAATGGCAGTAAAATACTGGTAAAAAGCTGCAAAAGTACTAAAAACTGTAAAGCATTCAAGGACAGTTGTTAGTGCTGGAGGTCAGTTAGAAAATCATTTATTCATTTGTTTATGAAGCTGAAAAACTAGTTGACCCAGAGCAACATGTGGGCCCTAATGAAGTTAATTTCTTTTGAATTTCTATGTTCAAAAACAGAACATCAGGTTTCTGCTCCTCATCGGTTCATCTCGTATTCCAGTGTCTCCCCCACTGTCTCACCCAGGAGTGTCAGGCTCTGTAAACTCCACATCGCTAGAAGATGTGTTTGATTATGTTAATCCCTTTGTTACAGACACAGACACAGACACAGACACACGTGTGCCGTTCCACTGTGGTCCAGCCCAAATTAAAGACAACACCTCAGTCTCCCACATCTGTTTTCCCTCTCGTCACTGTCACATTCGACAAACAGAAGGACCCAAAACAAAGGGGAAGACAAATTGCTCCGAGGAAGAGGAACAGCTAATCCTACACAGTGGTTTGGTTTAAACAGAAATTCAATGACACTCCTCACAGAAACAATCAAAAATGGCAGCCAATTTGCCTAAAAGAAACTACATTAACGTGATGATACAAACTACATTTATGTTATAAATTAATGGCTTCAATAGACGTGTAGGCACAATGCAAGAAAGCCTCCTTACATCTTTATCATTGAGGATGTTGTTCTTTGGGTTGTTTGCCTCTCCATTCCTTTGCCTAAACAAAAGCCTCATCTCAGTGGTGAAGCGTTCTGGTTTTGTCTCCCTGGTTTTTCTCAGCAAACATTAGAGCGTCTTGATGTTCGGTTGAGTTCTTCTTGACCTGCATTTTCACAGTTCAATTCCTTTGCAGGACTTTTTTTAAAAACCCTGATTCTAGATGATGTTTTTACTTAATAATGCATTTGTGTCTTGGCAGTTATTCTAGGATCAGTGGACATTTCTGCATTGCAAACTGGTCTACTTTTGCAATGTTCTGTTCTGCACAGTGCAGAAACTGCTGAATTCCTTGGCAACATTTCTCACTCAGTTCTTGATGAAAACATTTTTACAGCTTTGTAAAAGTGAATTACCTTCTGCATTGGTGTGAAGGTGAAATTCTTTTAGAAATTCTTTTTTTTATTATTCCTACTATATCTTTACCATTAAAACTTTAGTCTTGTTTTACTTTTTTTTTTAATATTAATATTCAGATTGTTACTGTGTTGGTGTTCGGGTCAGTTCTGTAGAATAGTCAATACATTTCCCTGTTTGTTTCTGAAGAAATAATAAAATAGTGTTGTATTGAAGTGTTCCACATGTAGGATGTAAAGACATTTCATATAAAATGCCTGGTTCTACACACACAAAACCAACAATATTGCAAATACTCCTAAACAATTTTGTCGTCAGGAGATGAGTTGTTATTATCTGTGAAGCGCAGTATTGTGGATATTCATGCCCCAGAGGAGTGAACTGTGAATTAGTCATTAAACTCAGCCTTGTCCAAACAAATGTCATTATTTCTTCCACAGAAGCATCTGCTTCATTTATTTATTTTATTTCCCTCTCACTAAATATCACCTGAAGTGAGTCTGGGAGCGAATGTAATAAAAACATGTCATTTTCAGCCAAGCAGACTAATTTGATATAATTAACATAAAAATATTGGAATACAATGAAGTGCTTGGAAACACACACACACACAAATACTGGCTGTGGTCGTCAATAATAGATTCATTAGAAACAGCTTGTTAGTGTACTGATGCTAGTAGATGGAATAAAAAGATACTAATTACAGCCTGTTGTCTACGCAGAATATTTTTGGAAATATAGTGTTTTTAGCACAAAATAAAAATATAACCATAATCTACACTGACAACTAAATATTAGGGATCAGTAATTTGTATTAATGGTTTTAAAAATTGCTGTTGGACTCCTTCATAAAGAAGGTGCAGTGAGTTCAGTAGGAGTGGACAAAAAAAACCAAGGTGGAGGACAATCACCACCTGCACATAAACAAACACTCCACAGCAGCCGACAGGTCAAGAGAAAAATTCCACTCCAGAAGTCAGTGGTAAACCACCCAACAGGCTTCACCGCTTTCAAAACATCACAATGCATCAGATTTTCTCTTTGTGTCTCTTTCCCAGAGGCTCGCTGCCAAGTTTCCTGCTCCCTCAGTCTCTCTCCCTGCTCTGCAGAGTTTCAGTGCAGCACATCTGAGCAGCTTAAAACTTGTAATGAGGTGAATACTTCAATGCTAACTGGTGAGTGTGCTCCCAGTGGGGGCCACCGATCAAAGCCAACAAAGGTGTTATTTTCAGTGACAAGATGCGGTTTTTAAAAAGTCCTGTTTTAGTCAGACTAATAAAATACTGAGACTAAATGACTGAGTTTTCTCCATTGTCAGGCAGATGTAAAGAAATGTTAGTGGAATCCAACAAAGCAGTGACATGGACACGTCATAGATTTGGTCATGAATTCTTCTCCAATTTGAATCAATGTTTTGACTCTTTGCTCAAACCCTTTCCCAGTTCAACTTGAAGATTATTTCCATTCTGGTAAAATGTTTAAATCGTGTACCTCCTTACAACTGTATTGGACTAAGCAGCATCTAGTAACTACTGTAGGTCTTCTTAAGTGTAATTATGAAAACAGAAAAATTAGGGATGTCCAACAATATCGGTCGACTGATATTATCTGTAAGAATCTTTATTGTTTTTCCTCCGATAATAAAAAACTGATAGCAATGTCTGGGTTTCGCCAAATGAGTGCCCTAAAAATAATCTTGGGGATAAATGGCTGTATATTAAAGTGAAGGTCACTAGATGGCAGCATTCCAGATCATTTAATTAATCGCATAGTCATATGCGATTAATTGTGTGGATTGTACAGATAAATAAATAAATATTACCAAGGCTATAGGTATCGTGGATATTGGAATCGGAAATTAAGTGCTTGGACAATATCGCATATCGGACATCGGCAAATATGCTCATCTACAATATGAACTCCTAAAAGTCATGGTGAAATATTTTTCTATTTCATTTCTGCCACTAGACAGGGAATAAAATAATATTCCACCCGTCTCTCACACATCTTTTCAAGTCAAATAATGAAAAAGTGAGTATTGAGGACGAACCTTGTGGAAGCTCCCGTGGAAAATCTTTTTGACTTTTGTGTCCTCAAAGGTAACAGTCTGGAAGTCTCCTTTATAGTCGTGGTTGAAGAACGTCAACGTCTTTCCCGAGTCTTTGAGAGAAGCAGACGGTGGAGAGAAGGTTAGATGTTTGCACTGCAGGCTTCAGACTCAAGTACAGGTTTGTAGTATCAGTACACAACATGTTGTGGTTCATTTTAGAACATATTGACGCTGCAAAAATCATACAGTTCACCCGAGTGCACATACAGGGTGCAAACATGTTTGACATCTGTGAGATGTTATTGGCCTTTTTAATGTTTTTGCACTTTCACAAAAGTCCTAGTATAGTATAGTTTGTTTGGTCAGTTTTTGACATTCCAGGGTGAAACCAGTTTTGACTTTTTTTATCATGTTTTTGCTATTTTTCAAAAAATAAATTCAAAATTATGTCCTTTCTGCACGTTTCTCATCAAATTAGAGCTGTTTTGAAATGTTTTGGGAAAATCCTTATTTGTTATTTTTCAAGTTACAGGAAATATTTAGACTTTTTTCTTTAACTCAAACGTACAACATATATCTCGTTTACTTAGACTTTTTTCTTTAACTCAAACGTAAAACATATCTCGTTTAGTGATGCTGAAATGTGGCTTCTCTGCTGCCTTAAACCAACTATGATATTAGTCTGTAAAACTGTACGTCACCTCATCCATGGTACTTTTATTAAACCTTTCCATTAGTTCAGGATTCATGTGCCGTGGACAGTTATAGGGCTTTTCAGCAACAGCAAAACATACTGCACCATATAATCTGAACCCCAAACACAATTCAACCTTTTCAGCCCCATTTTTTTTTTGCTGCTACATAAGTTGCATTAGGGTCGACAGGGAAAGAAGAAATGCCAAAACAAAAACTTCCTGCGGCTTCTCCTGGGGTTTTTGAGGAACATGAAGGACAGCTGGTAACCTAATCTCTGCAGCCGGTTCAGGTCTGCCCTGAGTCTCCTCTGACTCACTGCTGTCCAAAATCACCTCTAAAAATGACAGTGCTGGAGGAAAGTGTGTGGTGGTTCTGCGACGACTCCTTTCAAAGTGAGAGCGAGACGGAAACGCTGCACCACAGTCAATCGGGCGGCAGCTATTATCAGTCCATATGATGGCATAAAACTTGGCTCATATAAAATTAAAGAAAGGAACTCTGCTGTTTGGGCTTCTGGTTAAAAATGTATGAGATTCATATAGGAAGGGCAGCTACAAGCATTAAAAGACACATTACAAGGGTTAAAATGTTTTCGTAGCATTTTGCTCCGGTCTCTCGTCTGCAGGTGTGTTGTGAGGAAATGGGGATTCAGCTACTCTCTGCTTTTACCATGTGACTTCAGACTGAGATGTGATGCAACACTGGTGCAACAAACAAGCAAACACTTAAAAAAAAATATGAAGGAAAGAGCAAGGTTGTTGTAAACTCACTGTCGAGGATAAGTCCAACTAAAGGCTCGTGGTCATCGTTGAGAATTTCCCATAATGCAAAGGGCTCTTGGGGGGTCTCTGGTAGAAGACGAATCATCATTGAAATGGTATAATCAGATGGTAAACCTTCAGGATGCAGGTACCTGTACATGAGAGGGGGAGGGAGGGAGGAAGGGAGAGAGAGAGAGAGAGATTGGATTCAGATGTGCTCTTACACTCAGGTTTCTTTACAAACTACGGCTGTCTGCTTTTCAGGTGACGCAAATATTTCACTGCCTCAGATTCTTTGACTTCCAGTTGCCTTTTGATTAATAAATCGTGTTCCTTTTGCTTTTTCTTTTTGCCTTGAGGTTTTAATCAACCCGGCTCTGATTTGTAGAAGAAGTCGTCAGTGACACATTTCACAAATTGAACAACTCCACAGTGGGAAACTTTACAAAAGAAAGTTGTCTAAAGCAAGAAGAGCCATTCAAAAGTGACAAGTTTACTCATTACAGGACATTACACGCGGGACTAAATGTTCTGCTACACATCTGATGCCTTTTTTTTTTTTTTTAATTGATGCATGAATTTTGTATTTCATCATGTCCCTGTGGTGCCGTGCTCTAGTGCTCTATCTTTTCACTCGCATTTCCAATCATCTTTAAGAATATTTATAACCATCTTATATAAATGTGATTACAAGCTGCAATGGTATAAATCTTGTTCACCACCTGGACACAGAGCAATCTCACTCAATACATAATATATGAAGAAAAAGCCTCCGACAACTATCTGTGGGTAATGTCTATGTTGTCCTAGTAAAATTGGACAGGCTGAATTATTGATACAGATAAATGAGTATCACAATAGAACATAAGACGACTCTCGCTGTGTTCACTGCAGAACACCACATGTGCCCTGATGAGATGTGCAGCGGATGGTAATTAGTGAGTCAGTGGGGTGTGTTTATTTTCAGGCTACACCTCATGTGTGCTGCATTTTTGTTTTTCAGGAAAACGTAGGACATTAATTGTAGCGAATGTAGTGGCAGAGAAACAGAGTGCAGTACCACTCACTCCCTACATAATATTTCGAGGGGCGCTGTTTTACACATCAAGTAATGATAATAAACAGTACTAAACAGTAGTAATCCCTACCCACTCCGCACACAGCCCTCCCCAGTACTTAAATCAAGACCTTGGACTGGAGTAAGACTTCATTTTCCAGGACTAATGACTTGAGTCTGACTCAGGCTTCAAGGACTGATTCATGTACTGGGCAAAAGCGCTGGGCACCTCATCACTGACACACAATCTGGTTTCACATACAATACAAAGATACGACACCAACTGTATTATTTTCCAACTCATTTGAATGTGGGTTCTCGTCTGCTACAAGATGATCCAACCTACGGCAGAGCTGGAATCTTATCTTTAATGTTAGTTTCACAGCAGGTTGATAACAACCAGTGACTTTAATCATTTTCTTTGGCGCAAGCACTAAACAGCTCATTGTCCAAGGCTGGCTGCTACTTCAAAGTGCTGTATTGTTTGTGTCCTGCTGACCACAGACTGGAATTATTTTTTTAGTCTTAAAAAAAAGAGAAGAAGAGAAGAAGTTCACTCTGCAGCAAACAATGGAAGCAAAATAACTTAAAAAAACAGAATAAGGCGTAGAGTTGAAAATCAGGTTTTAGTTTGGTTTTAATACATTCACTGGAATGGAACAGGGTGATATATGCTTTTAATATTAACAGCGAAGGCTGTACCGAAGAAATGATTTATGGAATTCCTTTTAATGTTTGAGTTTGTACAAGTCGTTAGCCGCCATTGTTTGCTAATCTTTTGGCAAATGTGCTCAATGGTGGCTGTGTTTCAGTCACATTGGTTAAAATATTTACTGCAGCCGAAGAACATGCTGCCTAGGCTTCGCTTTCATTACTTCCTGCAGATCACATGCAGTTGTGATGAGAAAGCATCTTTATCAGAGCATGCACCACGACGCTGGGGTTTCCTTGCAGCCGCAGGAGGACTGCACTTAAGAGGAGGAAAGCTGGAGTGATCTGCGACAGCCTTAACTGTGGGGAGAGCTGAGGCTCTCTGAATGATGGTAAAGCCATCAAATTGACTGACATGGATCGTACAACAACTTTAAAATTGACACACCAACGCTGACAGGTGTAGCAGCCGTACTTCTGCAAACACAGATCACAGTGGACTCTGATGTAGGTCACAGAACTTAGTAGCAGCCGTACTTCTGCAAACACAGAGTGGACTCTGATGTAGGTCGCAGAACTTGGCATAAAAATCAGAATTGAGACTTTGGAGACCTGCCACTAGGAGAATTTCTTTCTAGTGGCAGGTCATGGCACTGCATCAAACCATAGACTAAGCTCCCTTTGTTATAAACCTGAGACATTATTAGTCTATGTATGTTTATTAGGATATAAACCAGCCTCTGCTGGCCAAAAATTGTACTGCACCTGGCAACAGAAATGTGACCTTCTGTCTAATTAGGAAGCAAACTTCTTTTACTACTTTTTACTGTCGAATTGAGCTGAACAAATGCTATAAAGCCATGGGATCCTCCTTAAACAAGTTCACCAGGATGCTTTTTTTTAAAAAGCCATGGGATCCTCCTTAAACAAGTTAACCAACATGTATTTTTTTTTATTTATATTATTTATTCCAAAGTCCAAACCCACATCTGCTCATTCATTTAATTTTATTAAAACAAAGTAAAAAGTTACTCACTTGGTGGGCTGTGAGACCAGAGCATCTCGGTGTAACCTGTAACAAGGGAAGCTGTTGAAGGAGCCAGGCTCCAGAGAAACTCCAGGGATGGTGCTGTACTCTTTCTCTATTAGGCCAAACTTCTCCATCATACGGAAACCTGAGGGAGACAAAGCATCATCATCATCGTCATCATCATCATCAGGTTCTTCACCCTCATTTTCTTGGTCTTACCTGCCAAGGTGTTACCGCTCATCAACACAGAAGGACAAGCTGTGAGACACAAACGAGTCTTTTAGTCTTTATTTATTTACAACTTCAACCCTGAGAAAAATAATCTATTTTCATTTTTCAAAAACCTATACGTCTGAAATCCTGTCCCCTCCATCACTCTAGTCTCTCTCTGTTTTACACATTAACTTCTTCTACTCACTGGCAGTGGCCGCCTCGCAGACGAAGGTAATGAGCTGTTCCTCTATTTTCTTCACAGCATCCAAATCGTCCACAAAGAAGACGTGTCTGTCGCTGGGTTTGCTGGCAATATTCACCAGCTCTCCATAGTCGGCGTCAGCAAAGCCAATGGCAAAGATGATGTAGCCTGAGAAGGGATTGGAAACGAAGGATTTATAAATCCATTAAAATCAATGAGTAGATTAAATTGCTCTATAAAAAAACAGTGGTGCAATTATGTTTTCGACATATGATTGGATATGTCTTCCATCATCTGTGCCCTAAGACAACACACAACCTGACCAATCCATGTCTAGAAATTAGATAAAATACCAGCAAATGTGAGAATCGATTACTTGCCCTCCATTTGCATTTCCTTGGACACCTTGTTGACATCGTCTTGTGAGCGTCCATCTGTAAGGACAACCAGGACTTTGGGAACACCTCTTCGGGCCCCGGCCTCCGGAGTAAAGATGGATTCTTTAACATGTTTGATGGCACGACCTGAACAATAAAAAAATGAATTAAAAACCCCCCACAGCAGCCGGGTGATTAAAAAACAACCACACACAGAGGCATAGAATATGTGATACAGTGTCAGGTTTAACTGTGTGGAAAGCTGATCACATGAGGCCGCAGTGCTCTGAATTTACAGTAGTATTAGCGACCTCTAATGAAGGAAAAGTTGGCTCAATGACATCGTCTGTTTCCAATAACCTTTACAATCATTGGCTCCAATGACTCGTGACATCAACACACATTTCTGCAGGTGTACAGCAGGGATATAAAACCTGATACTCGGTATTGCACTCATTCCAATCCTAAATTCTGATACAGGTCCTTCATATAACCAAGATTAAAATATTTTTACTTTTAGATTTACTGTACTGGCCATAATAAGTCATCCACGTCTGTGGGAATAATAGAGCTTTTCTAACATAAAGTAAGGCTGTGTGATGCTTAAATTGTTAATGCTCAATGTCTCCGGTGGAATCGTAAAAATACTGTTAAAATGTTGACACTCATCTTTGTTGTTTGTTGGATTTTATAGCTACACTAAAACTAAAAAAAACAAAACAGTGGCTGCCCTAAAAGGAAAAACATACTAAAAAGAAACAATGAAAACCATACAGCATGTCTTTATAAAACTATAAAAAATAAAAAAACGTCACGGGTGATGTTTCAGTACTGCAGTACAATCTGCAGCGGGAAAATACATTTTTCAGTGTCACAGCACGTTGTAATAGAGCAGTGTTCCAGTTCATGTCAGTATCAACGGTCACACTCATGGTTGACAAACTAATCCAGAACACAAATGAGCTCATTAACAAGCTGCAAAGATTGTCGTCCTCCTCAGAGATTACATAAAGGCAATTGCAGGAGATCTTTGGCACAATTTTAATGAAAAACATGTAATATTTATCCCTCACCCCATCACTGAGGAAATGAATTATTTAGTCCATGATCATCTGATGACAACAAGTAAAATGTAAAGCCCTGCCAACGAGACTGTGGCCATATAACCAGGATGGCTTTACTGAAATTGAACAGACTGTATATTAGAACGGAGCAGAGCCATATTGTTGATAGATACCTATACACCTGTAGGACCGGGAATGTCATGCTGAGTTTAGTTTAGCTAAATTAATACCATTTCATATTTTCAGGTAAACAAAGCTGAGTTTAGTTTAGCTAAATTAATACTATTCTATATTTTCAGGTACTGGTTACAGATGTTCCCAACTACTACTGTATACTGTATGGTATTGTGTTTACTAGCTGTTAAACAAATCTAATGTTTTAATCTGATTATTTACACAGGGTTTATCAAGCTTGATCATGATTAATCGAGATAAATCAACTTTTCCAAATATGAAAGCAATATATACAATATGGCTGTCAAACAATTAAAGTGGCAGTTTATTTACAAAGTGCAAAAAAACCAAAACTCACTGGGTCGCAGGAACAAGGCCTAAACCATGAGGCGTGAACATCAGAAGGCATGAACTACAAACAGGAAGCATGAACAGCACCAAACAAACTGAACAACAACAGAGACACACCCAGGGCACCAGGTGACACGGGTCAGACTGACGACAAAGACACAGGTAAGTGTGATCCCACTGACTGGCAGACAGCAGGAAAAGGAGACAGACCTAACTAGAAGTTGTTTAATGGCGTTGGTGGACTTTGGTTAGTACTGTGCCTCTTCACAGCTGCTTTTAGAGTTATATCATTTTAGTAGAGTTAAACCTGAAGTTAAAGTCTCTACAAACCCCATAAGTGTCTGACAGTAAAAGGTGTGTGAAAATTACAATTTTTGTATTAACTGGATATCAGTGCATGGATGGTGCAACTATTATATATACAGCGTGTGTGTCATTCTGCCCATTAGTTAGAATGTGATAACATTTTTAATTTGAATAATTTCACAAATTATTGCAACACTCAGATGTCCAACTTCAGCTACATGTATCTTTTTATAAACAACCAATTAAAAAGTTGTTTGTTTTTTTTGAGAATGTAACATTTAAATCATTCCAATAATTTTCTAATGTTGTGTTGAACCAGCTTTTCTGGTCTTTGAATATAACACAAATTAAATGTGATGAAGGAGTCATCGCATCAAAACACCCAGGGTTACATTACAGGATAACAGAAGCTTTTTGGGTGACATTTTTAAATGACTTCAATGAATCTCTAAAGCTCCATCAGCTGTGCAAAAACACGTGTGCAAATGTTGTCCGAGTGTTAATGCTCACCAGTAAAGCTCGGTCTCCCCGCTGTTATCACACACAAGTTGATCATTTCTATTTAATGTCAATATTTGCATACTGCCCATCGGGATTTGCACCACTCACCTCCATCTGACCTTTCTGAAATTACATCAGCAACTGCTGCCAATGATGCTGTCCTTCTCCTTTTGTCCTTTCACACTCTCCCCTCCTTTGCTGTTTTTAAGGACTAATACCCAGCAGAGCCGACTCAGGAAACACATGAATATCAGATGGAGCAGTGTTCAGACTATAAATTAACAACGATGTTGTTTTATATGACATGTTTTTGGTTTACAATTGCTGACCAAACCGAAACTCTCAGAAAACAACACTGAGCTGTCAGTATTGAAAAATTACTGTGTTTGGCCTGTAACATGTTGTGTTGTCAGATATCTGCCAGTGATACATCTGTTTCAACGCTGTCCTCTGATCATGCTGTGTGAGACCGGAATTACAACAACTAGCCAGGCATGAAGTAAGACAAGACAGGACGGAGGCACGAAGGAGGCGAGAACAAGTGGGGGGTGAAGAAGACGAGGCAAGGGTATTCAGCAGGTGGTGAAGCACAAGGCGGGAAAATAATTATTAAGAAGGCACACGGCGAACAGGGGCAGCGGCTTAAGAGGAAAAAGTGACTGGAGATTTGGAAGAAAAGATTGAAAAAAGCAAAGAGGAAAAAAAGTAAATGAAAAATTAAGTGACGTTGGGTTGAAGAGGCTGTGCATGATCAGCGATCCATCATTATGTGCGTTCGAAATAATTCCTGTCAGTTTGCCTTTGGCCTCCTTTCTGGAAGCAGTTTACAAGTTTTATTTCTCTCACCTGGAAACAATCTGAATTATACTGGGAATATGGAAATTATATGAAGTTGAAATCATGCTGTTGTATCATCCAAGGCCTCAGAGTGATACATTGAAAATAGGACTTTTCCCCTGTTTGCTGTAAACACATGCCAAAGCCAAGAGAATTGGGACATGTTTTTCTTTTTTTTTTAAGTTTGTATTTGTACAATATCTACTTAATAATAAAAATGCCAAGCCATTTTAGGTTAAATATCACTGCAGGGAACAGAGGCAGCAACGTACAACACAGAGTTGCAGGAGGAGCTGGAGCTAATCCCAGCTAACATCAGGTGGTGTGGACCATGGACAGGTCACCAGCCAACTATTTGGTCACAGTAAAAGGAAACTATTCACTGTTTAAATCACTTCTAGATTTACTCACTTGTATTGAGCTCAAGGCTCAAAGTATTTTTGTCACAAAATTTAAAAAAAAATGGTCAAAATATTTTATTCCATTGAGAAATGACCTGTTTACTGAGCCATTGATGTCTCCAAACCTTTGATCTGACGTTCAACTGAAGTAAACCTCTCACCACAAACAGTTTAGGATTAAGGTATTCACTGAAGTAAACCTCTCACCACAAACAGTGAGTACTGTGTTTAGGGTTAAGGTATTCGCTTGTGAAATCATCATGAAAATCTAAGAATTTAGTTTGAGAAAGGAGAGAATTGGTCACAGAGCAGAATAAAACTACTCTAATTTGATCAAACCAAAATGCAGAGAAGCAAAAACCTAATCTTAAACAATCCAGGACAGAATACTCGTAAGAGAGGAGTCTGGAGACTTGTTAATACTTCGACTGCTCTGCCCAGGAAAGAAAGAATTCTCCTGCAGAGACGCTGAGATAGATGAGCTCAGACTAAAAAGAATATCTTTCAGTAAAACACAACACAATAGGAACCTTCTAGCTGCAGAGATTCAGGAAGGAAGGGAGTGGAACACAACACAAAGAACACAATCCCTGCAGTTTCACAAAAACGTAGAAGATAAATGCTGTAGAGAACTGCAGTCTAATCCTGGAGAACCAGTTATCATCTCAGATCAGATTTAATTCAGTAAATGTCAATCTGACTGCTGAAGAATCACCACAGTTTAATCAGCTCACCGCTGAACTGAAGTGTGTGAATACATCACCACAAAATATAAAATTGAAGTATCACTTTTTCCACATACTACACATGTGGGTGGACGTACGTGGACTCATTTACAGTATCTGCACTAGAGCAAAGATTATTACAGCAGCAGCAGGAGTTAATCAATCATTGGTTAAGCCTGACGGAGGCTCGCTGATGCTTTCATGAATAAATGCATGGTAGAAAAAATCCTTAAATACAGCATGAGCTTCAGCAACATTTCCTTGTGTCACAGCGTGAGACACTGACAGAAAGTACTGAAGTATTATTTACACTATTGTTGAAAAAGAGATTAATTTGAGGCCTAACAACCACAGAGGTGATATTGTGTCAGAAAGTCTTGTTTTTACAGACGGAGCTCTGTGGTCAAATGTCTGGAGTTAGTGGAATTAAAAACATTTAAAAAACAATCCCGACTAATATTTCCTTATACATATAAATAAAGGAAGTACTGTGCTGTCAATTTAAATCCACAGAAATGTATGCTTAATGAATCACTTTTCAATATATTTGTGTGACCCAGCGGTAAAATGTAACACAAACTAGTCACTTATACTCATATTCAAACATACGTGATCATTTGAAGTACTCTGTGGTTTTCTTTTAAGGCTTCTGCACAGATGAAACTGCCAGAGGCTGAGAGTCAAGGAGCAGAAAGAGTTTTTTTTTTTTGAAGGCGTTAGAAGAACTCGATACAGAGAGTGGCTTTGACAGAGGCTCAGAGGGGAAATTGAGGTTAAAGAATTAAAAAAGAAGGGGAATAGTTTAGAGAGAAAACGGAGTCATAATTTCTGGTTCAGAGCAAGGGCAGTGGATAGAAGTCCTGCAACGTCTAGATACTGGAAATATCACAGAGCAAAAGCCCTGAACTTCATAACGTGCAGTGAGTATTTCAAATATATACACGATATTTATGTTTTCATCACTGCCTTCAAAAAATATTAAAATCAAACAAAGTCACTGATTTGGCAGTTGATTACAGTGGACTGTTAGCAGTCGATGTCCTTCACAAAGGAGGATAAAAACAATTTATTCAACAAAAAGATTTATCATTTCAGCAAATTAACAAAATACTTTGATTACAATAAATAAACTTAAGCTTGATTTTTCATCACACTCCATCTCTCTGGAGTTCTTGTGTGTCAAAATATGGAGTTGAATAAGATTTACAGCTAATAGAATTGGCCGAGCTGGAGAGGCAATAAAACGGTACCAGCTTTACAACAAATGCTCTGTCAAAATATGGCAGCAATGATTTAAAACGGCTTTTGGTTCAAGTTCAAATATGATGGCATCTGGGGCCTGTTACTGACCCTGGTCAGTGATGTACTGACCCCAGGGTTGACAGAGTGGCAGACTTTCTGTTAACATGAACCTTTGACCTGAATAAGAAATAAACCAGAGGAAAACAGACTGTACAGACTGAGTCAGTACAACATAGGATTGAAAAGTCGGATTGGTCGGTCAGTGGGTGGTCAGTTAATGCAAAACTATGATTAATTGAAATAAGAACTGTGAAAAAAAGACCTAAATAAATCTATAAAGCATAGGAGTAGCAATACTGATACTTAGGTTGGGTTTCAATAAATATGCAACAAACATGAAGACAGCGGTCTAGAAGTGGCACAGCTCTCACAGTGACATCACCGAGAAGGAAAACACTTAGAGCCAGTTTCATTATCTTCCCATTAACAGAAGACTATTTTTCATATTAACCTGTAATTCATCTCCACATCTTCATTCTCACATCAACTGTTCAATAAAAGTAAAAGACAAATTCTAAAACACAGTCCTTTGTGTTTTCCAACTATTCATCTTCCAGTAAATTAAAATTTCAGAGCAACAAAAGACAAAAACAAAGTTGGATTTTCAAATAAATGAGAACACCTCAGGCTTGGCTTTGTCTCACAAAGAAAGGAAAGGCTAAGTGACGTTTGTATAAAAAGAAAATGAAATACAACTGAATGATAGAAAACAGTGTGAGGGAGAAGGTTAAGGTCTTAGCAGCCAGGAGATTAAGAGCAGCAGACTAATGGAGGAAGGAGAACCATGTGGAGGAGAAAAGAGCAGAGAACGTTTAACAACTAGTCACCAAAATGAGGCAGGACAGGACTGTGGGGGATCAGAAATAAAGGAGAGGAGGGAGAGAAGTGAGGAGATGATGGTGTGATCAGCACTGGAGCTGATATGGAAGCTCAAGGACACAATTACTCAGAGCCGACGCCGTGACATGACCTGAACTCAAGGAAAACCAGTGAATTCACTTTAATGACATTCACCTGCACAGCTGGACATTTTCAAAAACCAAGGGTTTGTTGGAGGTGAACTACCACATATTTGAAACCTTTAAAGGTGTAATTTTACATGAAGAAACACCAAGGGTTTGTTGGAGGTGAACTACCGCATATTTGAAACCGGTGTACTTTTACATGAAGAAACACTGAGGACAAGTAAGGATTTGACTTTAATAATTTCTTTTTCATATTTTCTTGGCTGGAAGTCATCTCAAGTACAGATAAGAGATTTTGGCAGACTGGGACGGTCTTTTCAGATAATAAAATAATCTAAAATAGTCAGATATTAGGTTGGACAAATGTTTACATTAGGTTTTAAAAAGATCTAAAATTGACTTGAAAAACATTCAAACTAATTGAGGTTTGGTAATGATTTTGTTTTTGTCGACCTGTTCAAGCACGTTTGATGACTGCAGCTTTGACCTTTTCAAGTTTAATTCATTAAGTATTAAGTTAAAATGAATACTTAATGGAGATGTCTCACCTGTTTTGGTGTTTCCTCCTTTGTATCTGATTCGCTGAATTGCCTCTAGCATCACTTCTTTGTTGCTATGGGAACTCAGCTGGAACTCTGTCCGGGCATCATCACTAAACTGAACAATGGCCACCTGAAACAGACAGACAGAGAGACAGGTTCTATAAAATCAAATGATCAAATATAAATCAGTTTTAAATGAGGTTTGGTTCAGGATGTCTATAAAATATTTATGTTTCCCTTCATTGCGTGGCTAACAGGTATCAGAAGATTAAAATGGCTGGCAAAAAAGTTAATCACTTGGTAGTGAAGGGTTAAGATGTTTCACTTGAGGATTACAGAGAAATGTTCAGTAGTTTTCATCAGCCAAAATACTTTGAAGTTACCTGAATGAGTCGACTCATTCTAAAAGTTTTTGTTTCGCTTCTGTAACAGTTTAAAGACTAATTATGAGCTCTGGACCCAACACATAAGCCTATGTTTTTTGTAACTGTCAGAACCTAAAATTAAAGCAAGGTATCTTTATATTCAATTTCCTACTTGTGTCCTTCTCTTTTCCTCTTTTTTTTTCTCTTTTAAAAAACTCGACAGTTTTTTTTAAAGCCAAATTACTCCAAGTCATGTGACATTCAGTTTGTTGTTTGAAGCTAAATTACTTTCTGCTCAGTCCCAACCTCTGAACATTTCCTTTTTAGCACCTGCTATTTTTGTGTTTTTTTTTTTCTTTTTTCAAAATTCACGGAACGAAAGAATCAAACAGAAGCTGCTTTGTTTGCTGCAGGAAGTACTACAATTAGACAAAATAAAGTTCTGCCAAACAGCTTTGAAAAAAAGTACTACGAAAATATCCTGACACACACAAAAAACAAAAACTAAATGTGAGAAAACAGAACAGACTGTTAGCAGCATTGATGGGTCAGTGCTGATATGATCGTCTGTCATGAGGTCAGGGCGGGTCGATCACACCGGACACATGGGTTTCTTAGTCGAATGGTGGTATTAAAAATGTATTTGAATGCGAGTATCTGTGTATTATTTAGATAAACACACAACGGCTCACATTCAAACTCCCAAATCAGAGCTATAATCTATCTAAATGCCTCGCTCTAAGAGGGAAGAACAACGATCATTACCTCCAGATTGCTAATGGTACTATTCTTGGCTCGGGGCGACCTACATTTGCCAGCCAACTCTGTCACATTACAGCCAGAGCTGTGCTCTGAGTAGCCCAGTGCCAGAGGGTTACAGGGTGTACTGAGGGTAACAAAGTGCTTAACAGCAGACATTCCACAAATGAAAGAAAATGGTTTAGGAAGCAGCGCTAGTGTGAAAAATGAACCTGCTGAGCTCTGCTGATTTAGTGACGGAGGGCCACGGAGGCAGGAGGCACAAAGACATTAGTTCACTATGACAATAGTAACCTCGAGTTAAAACCCAGTATTAGCTATTGATGAAGGTGATACACGAGGCCCAGTCTGAGGCAGGGGAGCGGTCAGAGTCACTAAGGTGTAATGTACTTTAGCAATAAGGAGCAGTTAGATCAGGTTCAATTCTATTTGGCCCAGAGTTGAACCATCTACTTTTTTAATTATTAAGACCAGGTAACTAAGTCCTTTGGCTGAAAACACAGTGGCAGGAAATGAGAGGAGGTAATGAGAAACTGCTCCGCTACTGTACACAGAGTACTTTTTAAATAGCAAAGCTTCGTTCAGTACTTTATTTAAAGTTTTCTCTTACTTTTCATGACTTACAAGGTTGTGGTCCTGGAGATATCTCAGAGGACACATGAAGAAAATTTCCCTCTGAAGCATCTTTTTCTGGTCAGTTAATACAAACAGCAGCCATCCTCATAAAGAGTGAACTCAGACTGTTCAAGGCCCATTATTTCAGCTAATGTTCTTCCTGTGTGTGGATTTTCACAGGGAGGAAAAAAATAAAATTGATGGAGTGCCTTATTTTTCATCATCTACTGACTGGTATAAAGGGCATGGGAGAGGAAATTAAAACATTTTTCCCCCCATTTACTCTTATACTAAGTAGTTCAGGGTGAACAGGTTATGAGACGAGGAGTATCAGGTAGATGAAGGGAGTGAAGGAGTGAAGGAGGGATGTGATGACAAGAGAGTCAGGAAAACACCTTCTAACTGTGCCCGTAGTACTTCAAACTGCAGTTCTGAACAAGTTGGATTCATAGGAAAACATTGCAATATTTTACTTCACATTAAGATTCAATGAGTTTTTATGGCTTAACCATTGACTGTGGTGGAGCAGTATTTAAATCTTTTTGTGTATATATATATATATATATATTGCAGGGCTTTAGTGACTGTCAACCATTAAATAAAGACTTTAGTAAATCACTGCCTTGTGTCTTGTCAGTTATTCTCGTGTCTTTATACACATCTCTAATAACTTCCCTTCATCTCCTTGGTGTTTTCGATGTCACACATCCTTATATTGCACTGTGAGCAGAAAGAAATTATTTTCACCAAGTCCAAACTAATTTATTTCGCCCCTGACCATCGTGCTTTTAGAAGATTACAGCGGAAATGTTCAATTTTGATCTCATATGGTAAGAGGTAATAAAAGATGAGCCTTAGGTTCATTAGAAGGATTTGAAGCTTCGCTATGTTACGATAAATAGTTCAATTTATTAGGGGCTCATATTTTTAACCTTGGTAAACTAAATTTTATATTGCAAATAACCAAAGTACTATAGTGTCAAAACGAGGAGCTCATCAGAGCTGCTAAGTCTGTTCAGATGTCTAAAAAAAAACTGAATTCTAAATGTCACACAAAATATTTCAACCTTCAATAACTGAAAGTTTCACACTGTCACTGTCTAGTTTTTATAAAAGTTGAGATCTTGTGGATTTCAGATTTTATAAAAACTAGACAGTGACAGTGACACTGACAAAAGGGAAAAGTGTTTATTCATTATGTTATTCATTGTTGTCCATGATATGACCACACTCTTTATCCAGCCATTACACCAAGGTAAATAACGTCTTCATTATGTCGTTAAAACTGTTTACGTTGAGTTAGTGTAGGGCAGAGCCTCGGCATCTGCTTTACATTGTATCTTCCTCGAGCACGAATGAACGCTGTGACAATGAGAATAAATTATACAGGGAACAAAGCCCGGCGCGTAATTGCGTGTCTGTTGCTTGGTCCCATATATACAGCCATTTACAGCAGACATTTAGACTAGACACAGAACCACTAACAGGCATAAATGTGAAAAACAGCACTTCAGGGAGGCTGAGTGTAACATTATTCAGACCGAGGTGGTCGAGACAGATTTCTAACATTCTCAGAACCGAAATACCTCACCGTGTAATGATGAAAAAGTAAGAAGCAGGTAAAGTTTCATCACTGTTATTGTAGTCCACACTTCTTTTTTCTTCACTGACCTGAGTGCCGTCTGGTCCAATCAGATCCAGAGAACCCATGGTGCTGTAGAGGAAACGTGTTATCTTCATGAAGTTGTCATCTCCAATAGACCAGGAGCCGTCGACCAGAAAGGCCAGGTCAGCCTTGGCCTCCTTGCACACTGTACATAAACAAAAGGACGCACAAACAGCCAATAGTTATTGATTTAGCCAGCTCATCATTTTTGTCTCTGCATTAAAAAAGTAATTTCATGGCAGATGAAGGTCAGTGGAAGAGGAAGCACAGGCTGAATGTTAACACGCTGTCTAATGAATTCACACATAGAGTAAATATGCAAAGTATGAGGAAGTGCAAATAGTGTGTCCTCTGAAGACTGTGAATATGTAAAGAGTGGGTCTACACCGGAGTGTATTAGGTTTAAGGTGTTGGAGAAACTCATCTCAAGAGTTTTAAACTGACCACAGAAGGCTTTTATATTCAGTGTCTTCATGACTTCTTCTTTTTTCTTTTTTTTCCACATCCAGAGTTCCAGCTGTGACTTTTGCTTCTGCTTTTCTTGCTCTCATGTTTCTCAATGACTCCCAGCGGTGCTACCTTTGCTGCTGTAAAGCTGTTCTGTGGTTTTGACAAGTTCTCAAAGTCCAACTCTACCCTAAAATGAAAATCTCATTAATGATCTTGTCAGGCTACATAAATTCCTGGGCCAGCCTGAAATATGAATCTGATTTTCAGCAAAGTGGTTTTATTCTGAATACAAAGAGCAGCGCTGCACACTGAGCCTTCTGTTGATTTCCATCAATGTAATTCCACTTAATCCAAGGAGACGAGTGAGTTCAGTAATATATCGCTTATGAAATGTATTTACTGCCAACGACGTGAGGCCTAAGCACTTAGTTTAAAAAACCAAATCTGAGTTTAGAGTTAAATAAAGATCCTGAAGGTCAGGCTGCACGCACAAAAGATGAAGGGTGAAATGTTTATGGCCAATAGCTCAACAATAACAAACACATTGTCTCAGTCAACACACATATCTGTCCTCCATCTTTGTTTCTGTCCAGAATGAACATTTTTCTTGTCTGTATGGACAAAGTAGTTAACCTGATAAAGGTCAGGCACAAACAGAAACAGCTTCAGTTTGGTCCAGTAGTTCAGCTGTGAGATATTTATGGTTTCAACCCATAATCTTTACAGACTAATGTATATTTAAAACTACATTCTCCTTTACTGTGCATGACAGCTAATATTTAAAACTACGTAAAGGAAGGCTGCGTATCAAGCACTGCTGGTGTAGTGGTATCATACAAGACTCCCATTCTTGTGACTCGGGTTCGATTCCCGGGCAGTGCAAACAGTGTAAATGCTTCCTAAGGAAGCAGTATTTGTAGTATTTTGCCATTTTAAATTAGTGTAATCCTTGTCTGTCTGCCTAATGTTGTATTTCCTGGTAAAACATCTTCTATTCAAAAACAATATTTTTGTTTTATTTTCCAGTTGCTTTTTTTCCTGATTAAATAAAAAGTAAAGTGAAGTGAAGTATGAAAGATATGATCCTCATTACTGCTGCCCTTGTGTCCCAGGATAAGACACTTACCCGAAGACGCACCTGACAGTTTCACCATCATTCATTACCATTACAGCCACCATTCATAAAGAAATGATGATTAAGAGAAGTGCTGCCACGTGTGTTAAAGGGGATTTAGTGTTGTCTTTTAAGTGGTTATAAAGTCGAAATCAATCAAAAAGTGTGCCTCAAAGACACAGACCTAAATGACCCAAATGTGCAGATTTCAGGGCCACGTGGTTAGACACATTTAGCTGTTCTCTAAAGTCAGCTTTCTTCTTTCAAACATGTGTTCCATTTTGCAATCGGTACGAGTTTTTTGAGGTCAATGAAAGAGCAAAGGGCATTAGAAAGATTGCGTTACTCACCTTCTTTAGCAGGTGGGATTGTGGGAGGCGGCTCTGTAGTGGGAGCTTCAGTAGGAGCCTGAGTGGGCGCTGGCACTGGACACAGACAGGAAGAGAACACAGCTCATCATTCATGTTGGCAGTGACAAGTAGCACCAACGCTGCTTTGTCTTCTGACCACACATGCATGTCCCTCCCTCCCACCAACCCTCCCCTCCCCCAACTTCACACATACACAAACACCATCAGTAAAGGTGACAACAGTGGATGTTTCAATTAACCTGGAGGTTTAATATAAAAAAGCCTCCTTCATGTGGCAGCTGAGGCGCAGATGTTCTGCACTGTCACTCTACCACTCTGTATGTAGCAGCTGAAGCTGCAGTAGCAGATGTTGTCATTGGGTTTATTTTTCTCTATTACCAGCAGATAAACATATAATGTTTTTGTCCAAATATATTCACATTTTCTCCCTTCTATGACATTTTAGGCAAAACTACTTTTTGATGATTAGGTTTATGGACAGAAGCTGTTTGAAAATCAGACTCAGGTCAAAGTACAACACTGAGCTTCAGCAATTACTTTGCAGACAGCAGTGGGTTTGGTCAAAATACAAAAACAAAAAGTAAATCATCACAGATACCTTGGTGAAATATAGTAAAATATACCAAAATATGTCTGTTCAGCGACCACTGGCATTTTGGCTTCGTGACACAATGTGAGTGATAGTAAACAATGGTGGCTCTCTGTGGTTTAAATGTGACTGTTGTTGTTATTATCCTCTCCATCTGCTGTTTCTAAACAATAATGTCTTCCACACTCTGTCCCTCCAAAATGATATTTAAGATAAAACAGATGTAAACGTGTCAGCGGAAAACATTGGACAGACGCTACACTTTGTTATAGTGCAGTTAATATATGTTTCAATTCTCCCTAACTCAATTTAACTACTTACTGTACTTTATATTTATGTGACAGGCGCGGCTGTTGTGTGAATGACTGATGGGATCATCATAAATTGTCAAGTGTGGCTGTAAATTAAACTACTCAGCAGAGTATTACTACACTTTCACAGTCTCCAAACACTTAAACATAACTCAAAACAATAAAGAACAAGAAAATTCAATTTTCCTGCACTGGTACCAGAGATACTGTATTTTTTCAGAATATAATTAGCTCCAGAGTATAAGTCGCACCCGCCAAAAGGTGCAGAATAAAGAAGAAAAAAACATAAATCTAAGGTGAGTGTATACACACAACAAGCACTGCTGGTGTAGTGGTATCATACAAGACTCCCATTCTTGTGACCTGGGTTTGATTCCCATGCAGTGCATCAGGTGGTACTGCAGTGCCATATATATATATATATATATTTATATTTATATATATTAAAAAATATATATATATACTTTCTAATTATTTCTTAGTACTTTCAAATGTTCACCCTGTGATCCCTTATCAACTTAAATCCCCATTAAAGATGGATTTACTGCATTAAGTGTGTGTGTTTGTGTGTGTCTATGGATGTGTGTGTTTGTATGCGTTGCATGTGTGTGCGTGTCTGTGCGTGTCTGTGCCCTATCTATCCATCTATCGGTAACCCCGCCTGTGAGCCCCTTGATCCCTGGAGCCGTGTGCTTCACCTCAGCTCATCAGCTGATCAATGAAGTGCAACAGCAGAATATATCTTCACTAAGAGAGAAGGAAAGGAATAGAGAGAGAAAATGACAGAGTGAGAGGGAGAAAAAAAAAGTTGAGAGTTGAAAATTGAAAACTGGAAGGTAGACGTGACCACAGGGGGAACAGATGGAGAGACGGAATAAATAAATAAAGAAAGCCTTAAAGCCTTTGTTAGGGAAATCAAGGTGGAAGGATAAAAGTAGAGAAGTGTGAATCAGAGACAGACATTTTTCTTTTTGTCCTGTAGTAAACTCAGTGATGACAGTTTAATCCAGGCTGTATTAATAAAACATCAACACTATCACACATACATGTCATGTCAGTGATGGAGACTGGTGGTCCTTCCATTTCTTGCAGTTGCGTGTGGACACTGATCTGGTATTGGCTGCTGGGAGTGAGGTCATAGAAACACTGTCGGGAAGCTCCGCCTCCAATACTCACTTCCTGTCGTTGACCGTCTGCAGGTGGAAAAAATACAAAACAAGAATGCAAACTTTGCACACAAAACTCTAAACAGATGCCAAAAATAGAAAAAAGAGTCGGGGAAACATCTTGAAGTGAGCCCAGAAATATCAAAGAGTTGACCAGAAATAATAATAAATTTTGAAATATCAAAGAGTTGACCAGAAATAACTTACATCAGTTGATAAAATTCCCCCGGAAAAGAGACACATTTCACACAGGCAAGAGTCCACATTAAAATAATCCTCCCATGCTTTTAGCCATGTTCTGTCCAAACTGAAGTTTGGCAGCTGCTCACTGTAATTACTTCCTGTCAGAGTTAGATAGAAGCAGCGTTGCTCTAGCAGTCAGGTAACAAAGTGCCTTGCTCAAGGACAAACTGGGGGTTGGTTGCTGAAGCAGAGAAGCAGCATCTGGGGATTTAAACTTGTTTAGAAACTTTTGCCTGAAACAGTCGAAGGATGAGCATCTGCATTAATAAACACAGTTTATTAGCATCATGTTTTGGTTTGATCTGGGGATTTGAATCAATTTAGCAATTTTTTTAGTTTGTACTTGGCATGAGTTTGTGTTTATCTTTCACCATGTTTCTGCTGTACGGCCCCATATTCTGATTTATCCTTAATGGCAGGAACATAAACAAATAAAAACGTGCAACTCAACTCATACATTTCACCTAAAGGAAGAGGCTCTGACAATTTTATGGTGAAATCATGCGGGAAAAACATCATTACATGGAGTGATAAATGGAATGAATGTCACTGACGTTCTTCTCCCTTGTCAATGACTTGGATCATAGACTTAAAGAGTTTTTATTGTTGTTTTTAAAACTCCAATGAATGTATGGCGTTATAAGGACAACAAAAGCTAATGAGTACATGTTGGCGGCCATTTAGAAGAACAAGAACCACACACACGTACGCACACAGACTATAATAGCTTCCATTTGTCAGTTTCATTAGTCCAATTCTATTTCCTAATGTGTATCTCATCTAGAGGAGTGACAAATTGCCCTGTCCACTACGCAAGAACAGCCATACGTGAAGTTTGTATCTCATCTAGAGGAGTGACAAATTGGCCTGTCCACTATGCAAGAACAGCCATACGTGAAGTTTAAGGAAACATCTGTCAGTGAGAGGCTGCCGCCACTAATCCCTGTGAGCAGGAGTCTAAGCAGCTGCGAGACTCCGAGTGGATTACACCAGGTCCACATAGCTGAAATATTCAGCCTCTGTTCACGCAGATGGAAGGGACAAAGATAAAGGGACGACTTCTGCTCCTCATTTATTTCACACACATCTCCACGACCATCGGCAGGAATATTCCACGCTTTGCCTCTACGCAGGTTTTCATGTGGAGGGGTTACTAATAATATCCTTCATAGCTGTGTTCAGCTGAGATGTCCCAGTGACGGGCCATAATGATCATTCAAACCACCTCCTTCAGATAACCCCACATTTACCCTGTCACTTTCACATTCTATGTCACATTTTATGTCACATTCTAAACTTAGATGAGAGCAGGAGGTGAGAATATGTTTGTCTGTCTCTCTCTCTCTCTCTCTCTCTCTCTCTCTCTTTGTCTGATAATAACAAGGCTGCAAAATTACAGAAATAGCGCCACCTATTTGGTTATTTTTCCATTGCCCCATGTCAGTGTCATAACGTGTTTGCAGTGACTGCTTCCTTAATTTCATTTGTGCTGTAATATCACACATATACCTGATATCATATTAGTACAAACATAATACAAATACTTCTACAATAAAACTATGACGAAAAAGTTGACCCTTTAAAGGATCTTGCTAAGGTGAAAGTGAAAACAAGTATTAGATTAAATGAAACGGCGTCTTTGCCACATTTTAAAGCCACAGTAAATCCCTCCTCTGACACCGAGGTCTATTGCACTTTCTGCACAGCACATTGTCACGCTCCTGTGAGTGCACTGTTTGACGGAGCATTTTTCCTGCCAGAAACAGGTTCTCTCTAACACGACACCACCCCCAGTCCCCACCCCCGGTCAATGCACCAGTTCAGTCCTCCACCTGAAAGGATCCTCTGCCACAGTTATGAAAATCAATGTAGAAATTTGTGACTTTACAGAGTGAACCTTTGGACAGTAGTTCTTTTCTCCCTCTCTCTCTCTTCTGTTCTCATCTTTAATATTTAATAAATGATTAAACCTCACAGTGCCCTCTTTAAAGGTCATTTCAGATACAGTAGAATCTGCCTTTCAGCACAGCCGTTTCATCAAAAGCAGTTTGGTAAAAAGACATTGTGTTTGCATTTCAAATTTAACTTTAAGTTTTAAAAGTTCATAGTTATAATAAAGTAAAATAAGTAATAAGTAGTAAGTAGTAATAAGTGTGGGGCGGCCCCACAGGTGACCAGTTTTTTAAAAAAGAAATCCTGCGTTGACAAAGTTTAGGTTTAAGTCAGCAGATGTACTCACTGAGTGTTGACTGTATGGAGACTCTGTATAATGTGGCGTGTAAAAGAGGCTGCCATTGGACACACATGCTGTTGGGCTGGACCTGGTAGGTGGACAAGCCGGAGACACCGAGGGTCACTGGTGAGAGAGGAAACATCAGAAATTTAATTCAGCATCAAACCAGTAGCAGTGCTGCACGACCAGCACTCACAGAATTAAAAATAATAATAAAAACGAATGACCGTTTAGATTCACTGGACTAATGTAAAGATTTTCAAATTTAAACCATGCATGTTGTACCGTAATTCCACTTTGTTATAATAAGAAGATATAATCTACCTTAGCTGTCATTTAAAGTTGAGAGAAAAGTTTCAATAAACCAAAATTTTTGGCCTTTTTTTTTAGCGATGGTCTTTAGCCGCGTGTTTACCATTTAGCTCTGCATCTCATCAGAAAAGTCGATGAAAGAGACGTACTGCTGGAGCGCCGGCCATGAGCGCTTCTAATTCTGCACCAAACTACTCCATGTTCATTAAGGCCAAATTGCTTCCATTAGGAGTGTGAAATAGTTAAAGTAGATTAAATTGTGCGGTCTAATGTGTCACTTAGGAAGTTTATAGCTGAAGGTTAAACGTCAACAGTGAGCATCACAGCAGCATTGTGTTGTTTTCTTTCAGGCAGAAATGCAACTATACAATGGGAACAAGTTACAAATTGTACCTCAAACAAACCACTTATTTACAAAATGATTCCACCAAAAGTTTTCACACGTCAACAACCAGGCGTCAGGCAGCAGAATGCAAATCACTGTGAGCGTTTTTATAGTGAGATTCCACTGCACTGATGGCAATAAAACCTCAAACTACCACTCTGTCTCTCGGTATATTCGCACTCTTTTTCTCACTCTCTCATACTCTGTCTTTCTCTCTGTCTCTCTGTCTGTGTGAGTTCCCCCCAGGTTAAATTTACTGCTATGTGAAATAAACTTTTCCTCCTGCACCAGTCAGTGGGACCATGAAGCCACAGTCACAGTCTTTACTCCCTCAGTAACGTGGTGTGTATTATTTATGTATTTTACCTTCATTGTCCACACTCATTTTTTCATCAATTTTAATTACATTTTGTAAATATTTCTAAGCTAACTTGTTCACATCTTCTGACAGGATATAAAGTCTTTGTAAACTTTAAGCTCCAACACCTAAACACAAACTAACACTTCGATAATGCCAAACAGTTTAATTCCACTCCGTGGTCCGTGGGGAGAAAATAATTATCTCTATGTGCTACAGGCTGGTACTGCATGTGTAATTTATTAGTGCGAAAGTTGCCAGTGGGCTCCAACGGCAAGAGGGCACAATTAATACAGTGCACCCTGGGAAATATGACTCCCTTACATGAATGACAAATTACCAAAGACTTTACACGAATAAATCAAAATTCCTCCAGTGTATAGACTTTTAACAACAAATTTACTTTCACATCATGTCATGTGGGAAAAAAAACTAATGGCTCTGAAAATGTAACCATTCCTTTGGGAATGATTTTAATATGGAATGCAAACCGTTGATTGCTGTGATGAATATTTAGTGGTGTGTTATTTACCTCGAACGTCTCAATCATTAATCAATCATACGTACAAATTAAACCGGGGCCAAAACCTGCCCACTAGGGGGTTCAATCTGGCCCGATTGATGAATGTTGAAATGAGAACAAAAAACTATACACTTCATGTTAAGGATAGTTTTTAAGGGGGTTCAATCCGGCCCGATTGATGAATGTTGAAATGAAAACAAAAACCTATACACTTCATGTTAAGGATATTTTTTGCAAAATTATATTTTGTTAAATTTAAATTATTAATAATGATAAATATGTTATATACTTCTTTGCATAAAGGCTAAGGAGAAAAACATGGACTTGTTGTTATTTATTTGTAACTATGTTTTGATTGTACTGGTCCAGCCCACTTGACTAATTAGGTTGTATGTGGACCGAAATGAGTTTGATACCCCTGAATTAAAAGATAAAAACAATCAGTTTTAGTGTGAAATGTGAACGTTTCTTCAAATGGTCGTTAACCAGGTTATGTTGTTAAATCTAATATACTTCAGTGTTAAATACTTAAGTATATTTTAAAGAGTGTTGAACGAGGCAAACTGTCATTAAATTTAGCTTAGATGCCCTACATGTACACAGGTACAATCATCAAGTATCAAACATGGCCGCCCTCCAATTTCAAATGAGTCTACATGTCAGTGGCTCATACTTTATCTCATTACAGAGGCATCTTTCATGATGAGAGGTGTTCACAGAAAGGCAGGCATGTGTATAAATTGTCACTAATCCTCTGGGGAGATGATTAGAACAAGGATGAAGGATGGCACAGCTCTGCAGCAGAAATAAAAAATCACTGTGTCCAAAACATCAAAAAGACCCTGCTTTAATTGTTGACGGAGTGTAAATCTGCAAACGCAATCTTTCGCAGCCATTTTCTCACATCATCCCTCAGAATTAGTATCTGACCATTAAAAAAAAACAATCACACCCGAATTCACACCAAAGGTCAAACTTTCACTTCTACTGATGAGCACCACCAGAGCTGGACTTTATCTCAATGCCTAACGATAACAAGTTAACGAAACCACAGACTAAATTAACTACCAGTCACTTTCAAGTTCTCAGATGTTCTGCATCATTAAGACACGTTCCTGCTCCCTGTTGGGACTCCTGCCTCCTAACAGACAGTAACGTCGCTAAACATGGTCCTCAGAAGTAACAAAAACACAAACCAAACACACACAACACGTTTTTATTAGTAGTGGGGACCGGTATTTATGGTCAGTATTAGGCACATTTTAATGAAAGGGTTTCTAAATATAGCAGTGTTAGCAACAAACCAATTACAGATGTCTGAGGTAAATGAAGGCTTTGTCGTGCACCGTGGGAGTCTAACAACAGTAAACAGACGCAGAGACGACTTGATTACATCTAATCTGCAGTTTGTATCATTTGTACAGAGTGCAGCGACTCATAAGGATCTGATTTGTGAGGATCCAGAGACGTTACTGTGTCGACATGTTTTCACTACTGTGTGTGAATACGTTAAATCAGATGACCATATCACATCATGATGAGGGAAAATGGACAGGTTGTTTTTGTTTTATTTCCGACGATGATGAACAGCTCTCTGCAGATAAAATTCGGAGGATGGTGAAATAATATTAACTATAGATATAAATATAATATATTATTTATATTACAAATAATATAAACTGTAAAATTGTGTTTTTTGATTTTAGCTTTTGTGAATGTGTGAGGGCTGCTGCTTGAACAACATCAATATTGACCAACGCTTTCAGTGTGGAAGACCGACGTTGGCATTCTCTGTTTGGGATTCACTGTCACTGTTCAGTCTTCAGTCTGTTTTTGGTAAAGAATTTAAAAAAACAAGGAGACAGTAAAATTGTCCCAACTACCATTAACCAACGAAGCAGGAGAACAAACACTGAACTCCTTGTTTCCTCTATTATCCGATCTTTTCTAACGACCTCCTCTGGACCTTCTCCTCTTACATCAGTCCATCTGTGCGTCCTTCCCCTCATTCTCACATCTACCTTTCGTCTCTCACTCTCTCCGACTCCCACTTGCCTCCTCTCTGGGCGTGAGCGATAGTGAAGATATGTTTTTCTGTCGCACTGTTGCAGTTCATTGACCAGCCAATGAGCTGAGGTGAAGCAAAAACCTCCGCAATCAGGAGAGACCCTCACAGGCGGGGTTATCAATAGAAGGGTCGAGTGGTGTTAACAAAAGCACACATACACAATATATATTGTGTGTCAAAAAACTAAACCCAAAGACCCGTTCTGTCTTTTCCTCTCCTTTTCTCTCTGAATCCCAAACTCTTTTTGCCCCTTTTTTTGTTTAGATTAGAGACACACCCAGTCCATATCTTATATAAATATATATGTTATATTCTCACTGGCACTCTCTGACTCATATATATCCTCTCTGTTTTTATTCTGGTGATAAAGTCTTGCTGGAAATTAAAGCGCACACACTCTCAGCAGGCAGCTAATAGAAATGTTGCACTTTTCCTACATTCTTCTGCCTAGTTTGCTCTCCAGCTGCTGCCTCCCTTTTTCTCTCTAATAATCCTGCATGACAAATATAGATCGAAAATAAACACATGGTGCTGGTGATAACAACATGCTGATTTCAAAATGATGACTATTCTGATCTCTTGTATGATTTTGCAATGGTTCAAGGCTAAGTATATATACTGTATATATATACATTTATATGTATATATATACATATATATACACACATGCAAACATATACATACATATATTGGTGAATTTATATATTCATACTGTTATACAGTATATTTAATAATGTCAATATATATTTTATACAGGTGACTTCTATAAGGCACTAAAATGAAGTCTAAGAATGGAAAACATCTATGTATTTCAGTATTTAATATGTTCATAATTTCAGCTACAAATGTTATATCTATTACATAATATCTCCTCCTACAATGATGTATCAATGGCGGATCAGCACTCACATGTTTTGGCGTTGACTAGCTGTGGTTCACTTTGTCCTGCGGGGTAAGAAGCAGTCACTTGAACGCTGTATTCTGTTCCACTCAGCAAATTCAACAGAAGAATGGAGTTCACATCCTCGCCCACCGTTGTCTCCAAAACCTGTCCTGAAACTGACACACAGTAAGAACAGACTGTAATAATAAAATTAATAATAACAACAATTATATTTTTGTAAAATTTCTAACTTTTTTTATATTATTAACTTTCAAAAAATTAAAATGCATTGGACTCTACCAAACTACATCTCAATAAATGTATTTTTATTTTCAATAAATTATTGTGTTAATAATAATTTAAGTAGTCAGAAAGTTGTTTGGTTTAGTTTTGCAAACACAGTCGTTGGATTTAGGCAAAAATCCTTTTACAACTTTTTCATTAGTGGCTCATTTAAACAGCCACTAAATGAGTTTTCATACCATTACCACTGATTCCTTTAATAAAGGTTAAAAATACTCTAATACTTCTAATAAAAAAGTTGTACAAAAGTAAAACAATGTTATTAAAATGATATTGGCACATATTGATTTTTTTTTTTAAACCACATACACCGACACTATTCCAGGGAAACAAAAGTCGACTGAAATGTGTTTCCTTGAACTGAATTTTTTTTTTTTTTAAATTAGATCAACTCAGTGTACCTGCCTTAAACTGGATCCTTGGAGACGGTGATTGTATTTAAAAACATGGAATGAAAACCAACAGACTGGAGTTTCGCAGTGGAAAACTGAAGCAGAAATAAGAACGTAGCAGACTGCAAAAAAAGATTTCTTTTGCTGGCGCTCGAAGACAATAAATATAATAGAGGACGGATATTTTTCCAACTCCAGATCTTTAATGTGAACCTGGACGTGGTGTAGAAATTATATTTCTTTTCAATAGCAGCTTCTATATATTATATTAAACGTAGAATCTGACTACATTATATAAACAGAAACTACTTCATTTACAATAGTCCTTTTAGAGCCTTCATATGTTAATGTAAGGACTGTGGTAAAGGTCAGGGGTCAGCAGAGAAACTGAGAGCAAATTACCTTCGAATGCTTAAACACGCCCTTTGAAACTGTCACAAAAACATCTTTACAATTTTCACAGTCTTTGTAAAAAATACTCCAGGCATTTATTATTTCTGAGTCTTTTTGTTCGAGCTCCACTGCCAGAGTAATTGCAGGTGGAGCGAGTCAGAAGCTAAGCTAAGCAACCAGTGTTTTCATCATTGATGGAGCACATTCTATAAATATATAAAATACCCCTTTTTGAACAAATCGAAGTCAAAATGGTCCCAGACGTGACAAGTAATGTTAACGGAACTACTACTACAAGTAAAAAAAAACGTTCTATTTCAGAATGAAAGATCTGGTAGTTTGAAGAATTTTGTAAAATTTAATACAAATTCCAGATATATCATAAAATTAGACAGAGATAAATACTCATTATTTTTATGCTGTGGGCTGTGAGTGTGTATTTACCATAAATGGGCTGGTAGACAATCCTGTAGCCCAACGCCGGAGTTGGACTTGGATCCCAGGTGACTCTGAAGCGGCTGTACCACTCCTCAGACACACGGAGGTTTCCAGGGGACAAGAGCGGCACTAACACAACACAAGAACACAATCATTTCTGTCTTAGTCAGAAAAAAAAAACCCAACAGCTCATATGGAACTTCTCTGTGTAGATGTGCTGTTTCTACTTTACTACTGTTAGTAGTATTTTCAAAATAAGGTGCTTTTACTTTGTAATGTAGTAAAAATCAGGTTCAACTTCCTCTAAGACATGAGTGAGCTGAAAAAATGGAGAATGGATTAAAAATCTAGATATAAAAAAAAAAAGTGTGATTCCCTCCTTTGTGAAAATGAAGTTGTAAAGGAGAAGTCAAACGTATTTACAGTGCTGCCGTGGCCGCCTGAAGAAAATGACCCACAAACAATCGCGAACCATTTTATCCGCCTGTGCCGCTCTAAATCTGCCACCGTGTGATTGAGATTAGAAATTGTGTTTTTTTTTGTTTTAATGCCTGAATCTGAGTTATAACAAAGCTGTAACTCTCCACGGACCCTGATTTATTTGAGAAGACAGTTTCCCTCCCAAAGAAATACGTGAAGTGTGTCTGGGCGCTGATTTATTACCTCGCTGCTTTCCAACCTGAGAAGAGGTTTTTATTTGCAATATGGCAGACGGTAGTACCCTCATCTAAAAAGATGACATATTTGCTGTGACATTCAGCTCTCCACACAAAGGGGACACAAACGCTACTGTCCGTGCGCTGAATACCTGAGAAAATCAATTAGAGACGTGCAAAATAATATAATCTCCTCGTTAATGATTAAAGTTGCTGTAATTACGAACAGCCTTCATTAGGACGATTAAAATGCATTAGTAGTTTTCTTTCATCTAATTTACATTCTTCCTCAGTAACAGAGACAAAAAAATTCAATTAATATAATGCAAATGACCATTCTGCTCACTGGAAGGAAATTCATTTTCCTTCGCTTTGGGTGTATCAGAAGATTTCTCTGTTTAACAGGGAATTGAACTCTTGCCTAAGAAAATAGGAAAATAAAAAACTTCAGAGCAGTGGCATCCACCGATTCCAGATGGGTAGGTAGATGTTCCAAAAGTTAAATTAAGACCAAAATCTTTAATTTGGTTTTTCACTGACTGAATAAATCTGTGATTGTTAATTATGAACTCATTTTGGGGGAATGCCAGCCATACAATCCAAAAAAGTTAAAGAGAAGACAATTAACCACGGAGTTAATGTTTAACTTCATCTACAGTTCTCTTACTGTCTGGAAACTAAAGACACTAATAGTTGCAGTTTAGTGAGTGGGAAAATTCTGCAGAAAAATCACGGACAACTATCACATCTCACTCTAAGTTAAAAACCATTATTTAGCTATCATTTATTTACTGAAGAAAATGTACATAAACGGCAGGCAGTACATCTGAGTACACTTCTTTTTGATTAGCTTTCTTCAATTCCTGCAGCATCAGCATCGTGTTCAACACAACAGGCCCAAGTTTTAACTCTGACTTAGTATGTTGTGAGTATATTTATTTTAGTAATATTTATTTATTTATCTGTACAAACCATTGTATAACTATTAGATTAATTAAATGAGCTCCAATGCTGCCATCTAGTGACTTTCACTTTAATATAGAGCCGTTTGTCCCCAAAACTATTTTTAGGGCACACATCATTTGGCGAAACCCAGGCATTGCGTTATTGGGTTTTCATTATGGGAGAAAAACACGATAATGATTCTTACAGATATTACATAATATGCTAATATCTGTCGGTTGATATTATCCCTAATTTTAAGCTAACTGAAGTGGGATGACTTTTAAAAACTACTACTTTAAAACTTTGGCCAAACTTTTGAGTACAGGCAATTGTTGGTTAAATTGGTTGGTTTCATTTTTCTAAATATTATGAAACCGTCATTGTTCTGCCTGTGATAGAAAATGTTTCCTGTATTTTTATGATGTGCACCATCTTCATGGGAATGAAAACAGTGTGTGTGACTGTTAGAAGACTTACATGTTGAACCCAGGGCAGAGACACTGACGCCGTCCTGTCTGTCCATATACACTGGTGTGACTGTCACTTTGTACTCTGTGTCTGGTAGTAAATTCTCCAGCACCGCTCTCCTCTGGCCACCAGGAACCACCACCTGTACATGCACGGAACGCCGAAACACATACACAGACACACACACACACAGGGACACAGTTTAAGTGCTCAGAGTACAAGGTGTTTTGAAGTAATCCCAGGTTCTGTTCACCTGGGACAGAACTTAGACAGAACAGACTGCAGTTAAGAATTCAAATCAGTGCAGACGGTAACACACACATACACAAACACATTACAGTGTTCTGGCTTTTACCTGCATGTGTTATAGAATCTGTCCATTTCTACAGTGTTTTCTATTAACATTTGGATGATTGGAGATTAAGGTGCGGGGACATTTGTACACACATGACGCCCTGTGGTTCTTACAGCGGCTCAGGCTCCAACTGTTCAAGAATTCTTCTCACTTCTGTTTAGTCAATACATTCAGTTTGTGGCCAAAGGTGAAACAAAAAGAGAGCGGGGAAAACAACTAATCCTTGTTTTTATTTATTATGGCTGCAGCTCGATCTCTCTATGCATCTAAGGCATTCTTTCGTATAAATTAGATACGCTGAGCCAGTTTGTTCCGTTTCCTCCTGCAACAAACTGCACCGGCATATAAATAAGAGGCTGAATGGAAGGGGGAAAAATCCCTGTAGGTCTATGATGAAATTAAGTTTTTCATAAACAATTCCCAACTCCCCAGTAACTTACTCAGTATACAGTCAATTTAATTGGTGTTTGAAAACCATAACAATCTCAAAAGTCACCAATTATTGATATTAAGTTATATCCATGCAAAGAAACTGAAAAATATTAACAGCCAAGCAATTGAAAATGGAATGAGACGGAGGCTCAGTCTCACAACGGTGATAAATCTAGGATACTGTAGTTAGTTAGTTTCCACATTCAAGACTTTGTTTTGTCAACAGTAATTGTAAAGTTGAAGGATATCAAATGTTTTTGTCTTGGAGGTGCTGTTAGAAATACTGGAGGAAAGAAGGAAGTTACTCCTCACCTGTTTCATTATTAAATTAAGAATATGATCTCGTTTAGAGGAAAAACACAAACTGATTCTCAAGCACAGTGAGGTACAGGGTAGAAGAGGGGGAAACAGTGAAGATTTTCACTCACATTAAGTCATACTTCTAAAATGAGCAAACTTCAGGTTCATTCATCGGGCTTTAACTCTGCAGTCAGATGGTGACATCCATTTATTATTTGGCTTGTGAAGTTAGAAGCTGAATCACAAAAACTCAAAAAGAAAAATTACATAACTGCACAATTTTTAATTTCTTAGCCTCTCTCTTCACCTCGCTCTCTCTCTCTCTCTGTCTCCCTTTCTCTCTCGCTCTTAAATTTTCATCAAAACAAATCCAAACTTTTGTAAAAAGCCTCGACCTGTAGCTACTCGTATCTTGCTGCTGGACGGCAGGTTTGGGCTTGGTCTCCCAACGCTGCCCAGCTATTGTTTCTATGTTTGTTCTTTATTACTTTTGCTCTTTTCCCTGCTGCTCTCCATCTCTGCTCCAGTGAGGTAAATGGCTACTGAAAAGATAATGGAATGTCTTCTGGCCTGGCCTTGCCTCTCCATCTTCTGCGGCTCTGGCAACACATTGGGAAATTAAAACAGGAGGGAGGAGGGAAAAAAGTGCGCGGGGGAGGAAAGTAAAGGGTAAGGGACGAGAGAGATGGTGGGACAGATGGAGTATGTGTGCGCGTGTGTGTTTTCGTTTTTTGCATCACTGAGCAGGGTCAGAACATGGCACCGGGCTTAAGGGCTCTTACCACAGATAGAGGGATCAGGAGGCAGAGGCCGAGAGGAGCGGGACTACAAGTGTAATCAGTTTTCTGATTTGAGGAGACGACCTGACACTGACCACTACAGTTCTCCTCCAGTTGGCTGGAAGTGTTAAAAATAACAACAAACTTCCTCCCGACCATAGTCTTGTATACTCAAGCTAATTAGAGTCCAGTGCTCGAGGGGGGAATTATGTGTTTTCATGCTTGGAGTCTGGAGGCTGTGCTGCATGAAGAGAACTACAGAAGAACTGTGAAGTAACAGAAGTCTAAGAGCAAAACAGATAAAAACCAGAGACCAGATTAGATCAGAGACACTGCTTCATAAACCACTACAACACCAGAGACAGAAAACAGTGACTGTGTGTAGCACTGGGCTGAAAAGAGGAGAAATATTTGGAGTTAAGAACAGTTATGTTCTTTGTGCTCTCTCATACCACAGACACAACAGGGATAGCCAAAGGCGGGGCTAACAAGATACGAGCCAACTAGTCAAGGTATGGTAGCCAAAAAAGGTTATAAGAATGTAGGCCTTGGAGTTTTTTGTTGTTTGTTTCTTTAATGCAATGTATTATTAATTAAATTATTGTTAACGTTGTAGTAGTAGTGTAGTTCTGTAAGGAATGTCTTAGACACAGTCTACTGTAAGTCAGGAACATAAAGAATTGGACTCACAGACTCTTCTTCATGGTCCCGAGGGCTGGTGTAGGAGACCCTATAGCTCTGAACATAGGGGTCTTCCATTTCCCATGATGCCTCAATACTCTGTGTGGTCTCGTCGATCAGCTGGAGGTTTCTTATACCCTGGTGCACAACTGTAAAATCAGAAAAAAATAAGTTACTGGAGAGTTTATTATCATCATAATAATAATTACTATTATTAATATTACATCTAATTAATAATATTTAATATATGTGAACATTATATTATAATAATTATAAATATTTCTGAAGTTCATAATAGGAGGTTCATAAAAAGGAGAGAGTGAAATAAAAAGCTCTTTGTACATTTTTCACGCTGCTTTTACTCAATAAGCTTCTATTTGCTTTTAATACAACACACTTTCCAGATGGCATTTATGTCGCCTCCAGATAATGGAGTTTGAACTACACTCTCTGGGTAAAGCACACAGTTTTTTAATATATATATTTTGGGGATTTTTTTTTGTTAACTTTTTCTCATAAAGTGCCACCTGCATGAATGTGTTTTCATTCAATTATTTGCAGAAAAGCCTCAGCCAGACTTTATGAAGTCCTTAATACTCTGTGGTTTATTAGATCGTTCTCTTTTAATCAGGAAAATTAGTTATATGAAAAAAGAAATAACTGAATCCCATCAATCACTCTGAAGTATTTCTATCTACAGGGAGTGGAGTTTTTTTGTTTTGTTTTTTTTTACATCATTGAAAGGGTCAAACAGTATCCTTAACCTGTAGGTCACAATAATAATCCACCTACAGTCCATCGTTGACCATCACAGACATGGACAGAGGACAATATGGCATGAATGTGAAAATGTGTTTTCACTGGAGCAGACATTTAATTTCATATAATTTACATAATGTTTTTACAATAATAACGTGTGGAACTGACTCCAAAGTATTCAGCTAAAGGATATACGGCAACCCTACTGATGTAAATACAATAAAGAATAGAGAAAATAGACACATGAAATGGCAGCATTTTGATGGGGACTAACTGATATTTTTTAAGGAAGAGTGTTCTCATTCTCAGCCACACATTCCTCCGTCTTCTGGTCAAATGGTTAAATTCTGTACTGTCCAGTCCTTGTAGTCAATAAGGTATAGCTACAGTATTAGTGTATAGTTAGAAACTTGACGACCTCTTCTCACCTGCTGTTGTGGCAGCAATCGTTGTCGTCTGAGCCACTGGAGGAAAAAAAAAGAGCACAAATTGAATAATGGTACAAAAACTTTCCCTGACAAATCTCCACGTCAATAAGGCAATTAGACAGAAATACGTTACAAATTATTGATAAGGAAATGGATTTTCTCCTTCTGAGACAATCAAATTAATGAGGAGGGTCTCAGGTAGACCAGCGCTTTGCAAATTGAATTATGCAGAGGAGACACATTGGAAAGGACTCATTTGTCCGCTGTCTGGAGGAGACACAGGACCAAACAATATTTTTTGGACACAACCGTCTCACTTACATGTGGTCTCTACCACAGAGACGGTGTCGCTCTCTGATTCGTCCTGGAAGACCGCCGTCAACATCACTTCATAGTCAGTAGATGGACTTAAGTTGGACAGGACGTATCTGTTATCACTTCCACTGAGGATCACCTGCAGGAGACACACACCCACAGACACACACGCATGCAGACATGAACACACGGAGGAAAACTTTTATTTCACTAATTACAAATAAAAATCAAACGTGATCCTTTGACTCTTCTGTGGAACGTGTTTTAAATTAAAATAAAATCAAACTTAATGATTTACAAGTTTCCAAAATAACCTTTTTCTCACACCTTTTGTGGTGAATACTGAAGACGTGACGCTCCACCAGATGGGAATTGATAAAAAAAAAAAAAAAAAGCCAAAGATTTCACAGTGCAGTGGAGACAAGTCAGTGAGTCTTAATTGACAGAGGAAAATAGTATTAATAGTATAAAGTAATAAACCTTGTGACAGTGTTTATCTGTGTGTCGACAGTTGTGTCCAAATCACAGTAACTCAAATCCCCATTTTCCCCCCATGCTGATGCTCACCTTTGACCTCCAGCAGCTTGTCCAGACAATTTTTATGTGACTAAGTTCTACGCATCGAGTTTCTGCCATGTGGTGGACTAAATATATATTTGCATTTAAGAGCAGTTGATACTTTACTATGCTACAATTTACAATGAAGCTGAACGAGGCCAGAATAGATGACTGTAACAGTAAGGAGTATTTCACACAGAAGTAAATGAAAAACTAGTACTTTTAGCTGAATTGGGCTTGAAGTAAATGGGACGAGGTCATCTAGAGTATCGTCTTGTTCTTCAGAGAGCGTCTCAGAAAAGAGACTTCACTGTAGATGACTCAACGAGCAGATTATGTGCAGGAATCGGGTTCTTCACTGACACCTGCGAGGCACAGTTACATGCAAATTTCACAAGTGGGAAACACCATTTATGATTTCCCTGGAGCTGGTGCATCTTCACTAAGTCATTCTGTGCCTTTTTCTTTTTGAATCTCTTTTTCATTTTGAGGAATTCGTTTCTGTTCCGTGCTGTTGTTTCCTTTGCACCAAAACATGTGCCTGTGTGGCCATATCCCTGACTGGGGGAGTATGAGAGGCTTTGACAGAGAGTCGGACATAAATACATATGTACATACATACATACATACATACATATATATATATTATATTATGTGCAGGATTTCATATCATGTTGATTCTCATTAACATGTAGAAAATAGAGTTTAAATCTGGTGTCAATGGTTTTAAATCTTGAATGCATTTCTTTAGACTACATTTTCTAGAGATAAGAATATTTATGTAATCTGTGCGTCAGTGTGTGTGTGTGTGTGTGTCCACATGCATGTATACAGTACGTGGGTGATAGAAAAGAGATAAACCCTTTATTCTGGCGGTATTTCCAGCCTAGCCCTCCAACTGTTTTTTTTTTCCAGCTCTGATGACTCTTGTTGACACATACACACACACACTCTCACACACACACAGACTTTTACACACCTAAAGGCTGACTCTATCGCTGCTTCACAGCTGCCTCTAAACCCCAGATCATGGTAATAAAAAAAAATCCCAAACCATTAATTTTGGGATTTATTCAACCTTTATTTATACCAACCCATGTCAGGGATTTTTAAAGCTCCTGGAAGAATTGTGAAGCTTATGTTCAAGTCTCTGGAGTACAAATTCATATCCGGGAACCAGGAGTGTACCAACTCACTCACTAACCACACACAGGTAAAAAGCTGTGGCTGAATAAAAATGCTGAATAAATCCAGAATATTTAGGTTAAATATTACTCATTTTAAATTTTTCATTCTGAATGAGAGGAATTATGTGTTTGGATCAGTCCCCACATGGACAACAGCTCTTACAGTATATTACATATTACTGCATCATCCAAAACACTGTAATTCGACTCTGACCTCTTTGGTGTCGCCCCCTGCAAACGGAGCCCAGGAGAGTCTGTAGAGCACGATGTCGTCGGTGGACTGATCCCAGCTGACCTTGAAGCTGTCTGTGCTGACATCACTGGAGCGTAGATTCACAGGACCAGGAACTGGAGCTGAGACAGGAAGAGACATCACTGCACTACATCTGCAATTCTAGAACTCAATTAAAGGAAGGAATTTAGAAAATCTCAATTAACATGTAACTGAAGGGCTGACTTGACAAGATTGGACGTACGGTAAAAGAAGCATCAACAACAAAGAAGTGTTGAAGTTCATCACTTTGTGCTGAACTACGTGAGAAAATTGTCTGTCAACCTAGAAACTTTGTTCATCGGATCAAGACAGCAGTTGGTTTAGACCTGTCAGCATTTAACAAAGACGAAGAGGGGGTTGTTTCACATAAAGAGGATTCTATGGAAAATATATTAGAGGAACCAAGACTTTAGAGATAATTCTGTCGAGGTGCAACCAAAAAAGCAAAACAAATGAACTGACCAATATTAAAAGAAATAAAAGCTTCTTGACAAATGACTGTATACAGAAAGATGAGATCTTCTGTTGTAGTGAAACCTATTCCTCAAGTAGAACTGTAAATGCATCTTTCTATTTTGAAAGTCGATGGCTCTTCCTCTGTGTCCTCTCTGGACTTTTCTCCCTTGTTTTAAAGATGCTCTCCAAAGACTTTTATTTTGACAAGCATCCTGATTTTTGTCAAGGAATGTTTGGCAGATGATGAAATAATTTTTCAGAATAAAACACCTTTGAGATGTTAATTCATAAAATACAGATAATACATTTTGACTTTTGGATCCTACGGGTGCCTATATGGACCAGTACTGGCCTGACTGCCCTCCAGATCCATCTGCTATAAGTGAATTATAAAGAAGTTTAATTAAAATAAATACAAGTAGGGACATAATTGTAAAAATGTTGTATTGTTTTAAATGTGTTGGAAATAAAAGTTTCACTAAAAGAACTGACTTGGTCAGTGGATGTGAAAGAAGTGGCTGATAAATAAAGGTGAAATTATGACTGCATTTCTCAAAACTTTTCCAACTTTTTATCTGCGTCTGCACCACATTACCAACGTCTGGTTCAACTGAGTTGAAGACACTTCTTTTCTCCAGTCTGGCCCACTCACCAAGGTGCCAGGATATAAACAGAAATCAACATCAGCTCCATACGACTGAGTGGTTTAATAGATTCTTGCCAGAAATACATTTCTTTCAGCTGATTCAGCACGAGGCCCAACTGCTTTTTGCTAAAAGGGATATTCCTACAAATCAATACCTGTTAACGTGACAGACTAGTACAGGACATTGAAATGACCTTTTAATGTGACCGGGCTATTATGCTGAGGAGTAAATGAGATGGGCAGACTTCCAAAACAGCAGACGGACCAACAGGGGTAATAAAATCAACACTGCTGGGCATCAGCGGAGAAATAGGTTGTCTTCTAATGGCATTGAGACAAACTTTTTTTTCTTCCTTGGATTAGAACAGTATTGCCTTGGGCAGACACAGACAGTGGGAACAGCAAAACATCAATAGCAATACACTTTTCAAGGGAGCGTAACTCATCTCTACATTTGTGAATTCAAGGATTTACAACGACTCCCGGTGTGATCTAAATGTACCACTTCTACTGTGTCTCTGCAGGGGAATCTTACTGGTAGTGAATCCATCGGCGAGCGGCTCTGACCGGCCGTTTTCATACATGGCAAAGATGGCCACCGAGTACTCATTCAGAGATGTGAGGTCGCTGAGGTCATAAGAGGTAACTGCTCCGACGTCCACCTAAACAGCACACACCAAAGGATTAGTCACAAATAAAAACAGGTGTGAAACACATACGCCTGACATCTCCCTGTTGCAGATGTATATATATATATATATATATATACAAAAATATTTTTTGACATATTTAATTAATCACGATGGATCCACTTATCATGAAGGATCATGATTAATCTACAACTACTTTGTGATTAATCTGATTAAAAACCGTATCCACCTGACAGCCCTATTAGTTACAAAGTGATATTTGCATTATATTTTCCTAATAATATACACCACAGTTCATGTAGCCTGACCTTGTTATACTACATACTGTATCTACAATTAATCTCCTCCGTCCTTCCACTCTAACTTTGTGGCTACGCAAACAACTCTGTTCTCATATAGAGTCACACACACCTCCTCATTCAGAAGCTCCCCCGCCTTCACCCACATAATGCGGTAACCTGTGACACCTTTGGGGGCAGGATCCCAGCTGATGTGGGCGGAGTTATGGGTGATGTCAGAGAACTGCAGGTTAGTGGGAGGACTCAGTGGTACTGAAGAGAGAGAGGGAGGGAGGGAGGGAGGAAAGAAAACATGTGTTCACAGGTTTCAGCGTGAGTTTGTCTGTGTTGATGGTTGACTTCTCACGTGTGGTGTCCTGGTTTGTGATGGGGTCGCTGGCCTCCTCTCCAAACATGGCGTAAACCGTGACTGTGTATTCGGTGTGAGGGTTCAACCCGTCCAGCTCCAGCTCGGTCACAGAGTCTGACACCTTGATCTGTGGACAAAGACACACGAAGGAGAGCATTTATCAACACCCATCTGTGGAGATCTTCACCGGTCCACCTGTGAGTCAGAAGCAGCAGTTATATCTGGTGTCACAGCGGAGGTGTCATGAAACAGTAACAAGCTGATGGATGACGAAAACACAGGAGAAAAAAATAAACAGTATTTACACCTTTAGTTTCTTTACTCTGTGGGTTTTTTTGTCAACACGAACCTTTGTGCCAGTGTTATGGTGCTAACTGTTTATTTAATTTATAGTTATACATATTATAAGTTATTCATTAAGTTTGTAATTTGATGGCCCTTTTAATTTAGGGTCTCTGTTAATGTATCAACAACATTGTCACCTGGAGGTCTTAAAAATATAACTTTTACTCCAAAGATTTGTTATTCAGCCCCGGGTTCTTCAACCATCCACACACGATTAAAATTCACAGACTGGGGCAAAAACATTTTAGCCATTTAAATGATGGCAGTACCAGAGTGTATGAAGTAAGTTTAGGAAAAACTGCAGTAATGTAGTATTAGAGTAATAATCAGTTGTAAATAAGCAAAAAAAAAAAAAAATTATTATTAATGAAAATGAACAGGAAAAACCACAATCTACATGACTGATGATGGGTTGAAAGGACAGCCGAATGAATGTGGTTGTTTGGCTGTTAGCAAGCAAAACTGAAATATAAAATAAAACTGGTTAAAAATATGGCTCAGCAGCCACAGGTCGTAAACAGTAACAGCAATGAAAACTCTAAAATAAAAGAACATGTTGGGGCAGCTTAGCACTGTCTACAGGAGCTGGTGTTTTCACACTCATTTGCATAGAAACATGTGACCCAACAAGTGGTCGCTGAACACACAACCATCCGTTTTTTTTTTGTTTGTTTTTCTGAGATAAGATTTTTGACCACTGGGAAATAAAGGGATCAGAACAGAAGGAACTTTTTTGGACAAAACTGTAAATCTCGTAGCTACTGACTCAGTGAGACAAACACAACTGCAGTACCAAGTCACAACAAATATTTGTTTTTGTTTTTCTCTCCTCCGTCTCTGTACCTCTGTTTCATCCGGGTCCCCGTCCTCTGTGAGCGGTGCATACAGCAGCATGTAGCCAGAGACCCCGTCCATGGCGTCCCAACGTGCTTTCATAGAGCTGTGAGTTATATCAAACAGCCGCAGGCCTGTCGCACTGGGTAGAGCCGCTGCACACACACACACACGCACACACACAAGTATTATTCCCTCATACTGATAGAGGTTATAAATAAATCCTTTGATTTTCTTTGACTAAATCAGTGTCAGTGAGTCCGACTGTCAACCTTGGAGTGACTGGTGTTAGATTTCTGTCATCGGTCCAAGGTTCTGCCCCTGGTGCGTGAGAATGAACTTACAGGTCATCTCTGATCCTCGGAGAGCTTCACTCGCTTCGTTCACGTACACAGCAAAGACAGACAGCTGATACTCAGTAGAGGAGCTGAGATGCTGCAGCACCACCGAGGTTTCAGTGCCGTCCACTACAGCCTGGGGAGAGGGAGAAGAAGTGAGTCAAGGCGTGAAATATGGATGATAAGGACAGAAGAAGAGAGATGAAGTGTGGAAATAGATGGGAGAATAGAGAGAGAGAGAGTGAGGGGGAGAGAGAGAGAGGGAGAGAGAGGGACGGGGGACAAAAGGAAATGGGAAATGGAACGATAAATGGAAAACGATGAAATTGACAAATGGAGGAGTGGGAAAAAATAAAAAAAAGGCATGAAATAGAGAAAAAGAAGAAAAGAGAGAAAGAGCTATAAAAAACTATTAATTTTCTTTCATAAAATACTAATGTTAGAGTAAAATATATTTTTTTCCATTTCTAGATGAATGACAGTTGTGATATGGATTAATTTGGTCAGAGCCAGCTGGACAGGTCGTCGTCAGGAGACTCCAGAACATCTGGTCCCTCTAAAGCCCAGCTCAGCAACCGACTTAATAGTTTCTGAGGTCAAATATTCTGGAAAAGTTAAGCAGGTGTCTCGGTCAGAGTGTGTTTTCGAGGGAGCCCTCATTATCTGCACAGAAGTTCCGGGGAGACTTGTATGGAGAGATAAGAAAAAGGAGCAGAGATGAAGGATACCACCTGCATCTCAAGGAAATGCTGAGTTTTTAACTTTGGCAGAGGACACCAGATACAGAGACTCCCACTGGTGTAGTGAACATGATGGAGGATTTCCTGTATCTACCTCTCTTAAGCTGTTGTGTGTTTAGAAACGTCCTGCTTTATGCTTTAAAACATGACCACGAATAGCTCTTAGATAACAGCGAGCATTATAAGAAACACACACACACTATTTACCTCCTGTGGTTCTCCCCCCTGAGCAGGATAATAAACCACTCTGTATTTCTCTACATCTCCTGGGGCGTGGCTCCAAGAGATTCTGAAGCTCCGCGCTGTGACCTCTGAGGTCACAAGGTCACTCGGTGGTCCTATTTCCAACGGTATTTGTTCTACAAAAATACAACAACAAAAAACAGACACTGTCATATATTACGTTTTTTTCTCTGATAAAAAATATTGAAACTGAATTTAAATACGATTGATAATCCCTTCAAACTGTTTTTTCCCTTTTTCCTGGTCAGTGTTTTTAAATAAAGAAAAGGAACATTTTAAAAATAAGGCTGTAAAAGAATGTTGTTGTAATAAATTACAATGAATCAAGAATAATCCAGACAAATTAACATTCCAATATATGACAACAACTTTTTTCTGTATATTGCTGGAACAGAAAGACAAACAACAACAGGAACAAGTATGTGTTTTCACACCTGTTTGTTTTTGAGGTAAAATTCATAAAGAAAAATGAAGTTAAATATGCTAAATATCCTCTCTTCCTCAGTTTGCTTTTCTTTTTACGAGGCAGCAAAACGTGAAGAAACTTTGCAACATCACAGCCTCTGACTATCTATCTGTCTTCAATCTAAAGAATACTGAGGTCGACCGAACAATGATTTATGACTGAAGCTACTTTAATGCAAAGCTACTTTATGGGCTCTTAAGGTCATTTAAGAGTACAATATAAATCACCATAAACAGAGCACAGCTCCATGCAAAGGCATAAAAAATGTTTTTATTCCAGATAATAACTTCGGTCTCTGCAGCGTCTTCTCCTCCTTCTCGTCCTTACTCTCTTTGATGTCTTTATCCTGCAGCTCCACTTGTTCACACACAGTTCTGGTCAGACCCTCCACTATGGAGCTCATGATGTTGAAGTCGGCCACATTGTAAACATGAGTGTTTTCCGGCTCTGAGGCGATGGACAGCAACTCGTTCTCGTCGGCATTCTTCACACCTGTGCAGACACACATTTGTCTGGACTTATACCTAGTAACTACACTCGTTTGGCTGCTTGAATTACAATGAACATGGACATTAACACAACAAGATAGAATATAGAACAGGATGTTGTAAATAAAGAAATAAAGAAGGTCTTCTTCTCTTCTGTTCTTACCAATGGCAAACAGCTCAATGCCAGCGTTGCGCAGCATCTCCGAAGGGGGGATAACATCATCCTGGGATTTTCCGTCTGTAATTAAAATCCCAATTTTGGGTACACCTACTCGTGCCCCCGCCTCAGGCTTGAAGCAGTTCTCCATGATGTAGTTTAATGCCAGGCCTTAGACAGAGAGAGAAAAAGAAGAGAGTTGAATGAGAATGAAGGAAGCAGACAGACCAGAAAGAACTACACAGTTTAGCAGGAATAGGAAACGTTACTTTACCAGAAAGAACTACACAGTTTAGCAGGTATAGTTTAGCAGGAATAGTTACTTTAAAAAAAAAATACAAATCAAAATAAATCAAATAAAGCACCTGTCAGAGTGTTTCCTCCTTTGTAGGGAAGGTTTTTGACAGCATCAAGGACGGCTTCTTTAGTGGAGAAGGTATTTAGGTGCCACTCTATTCTCGGATCGCCACTGTACTGAGCAAGTCCTACAGAAACACAAGCACAAAAGTGTCAAATATCTGTCAGTCACTAATGTGTATCTCCCAGTCATTTATTAGAGAAGCTGCTGAGACAGCATCTCAGTCTACAGCGGGGGTCACCAACTATAATAGTTCGAAGGGCCAGAATGTTTCTGGACTGACACCATGGGGGTCGGACAATCAAATAAAATGAAATAAAAATCAAATTTTTGTCTAACATTATTATTTGATGTTTATTCTGGAATCCAGTCAGAGGCCCGACTGGGCGGTTTGGTGGGCCTGATTCAGCCTGCGAGCCAGAAGTTAATGACCAATTGGCTACAGCTCATGACAAACTCTATGACCCCACTAGAGGGTGCTCTGTTTTTGTTTGTTTGCCATAACAATAAAATATGTCCTGAACACTGCAGCCTCAGGCACCAGGTTGCCCCCAGTGGCAGGGAGCGGTAGGGGATGATGGGAGCTCACCTATTCTTGTCTTATCAATGCCAACATCGAAGGCATTAACCAGGTTTTCAAGGAAATTGCGGATCAGACGAAAGTTAAGCCGACCGATGCTCCAGGATCCGTCCACCAGGATGAAGATGTCGGCAATGGCTTCTGTGCGGCAGACAAACTGATCGGCTGGAAGAAGAAGAGGAAACAGGACATCAGGGCTGCAAGTCAGGGGTTGGTATCGGCCTTAATGACAGGTGAGGATGTAAGGACACACACACACACACACACACACACACAGTGCCCTTTTGCTGTTTTTTTCTTTTTCAAGCTTTATTGGTCACATTTACTGTACACACGGCCAAAATGTGTCCACTGNGGGGGGGGGGTCTCAGCAGCACTGGGGTAGAATGGGAATTTTAGCTTGTGCTTTTTATTGCATGCTAGCTGAACACACTAAAACCAGGATAGGATTCAAACCTGCGAACCTGGATACAGGCTCAGTCCTCTGACCACTCGGTCCAGGCTGCTGCCACTGAAGCTCAGTTTTAACATTAAACTGCAGGAGGCACCGCCTTTAGGTGTTTTCTTTGTATTTTTGTGTGTGTATTTTGAGAAAACATTTGGGTCGTGGACCTTGGGTGGGACGGTATGGCAACATTTGGGTCGTGGACCTTGGGTGGGGCGGTATGGCCAATACACATCAAATCAATACACATCTAACGTCAGCAACAGCAACAACAGCAACAGCAACAACAGCAACAACAAAAATCATATAAAATGATATTCTTTTTTGTTGCGTTCAGTGAAATAAACTAATATTCCAAACAAACACTAAGGCATTATCTTTCTGTTTTTCTCTCCTGTTCTCTCTCAGGCTCATTTATCATATTTCCAGAACTGCTTATCTCGTCGGCCTGCCCACTCTGATATCCTGAAAATGAACACATTCTCTAAACGCTGTATCATTAATCCTTTATTCTGTTATCCTGTCTTCAAAAATAACACTGGCTAATTTAGGACATGCTGATAACTCTGGTCATTTGTGCATGGAGGAACAAAACAGACCAAACAGCTGACTTAAGGAAATGTCAAATATTACCTTGTTTAGTAAATAAAAAACATTTTAAAAAGACGTGAAGTAAAACCAGTCAGCAGAGGCGGTTTACCTGCTCTCCGTTAGTCATTTTTCTGGGTCAGTAGAAACTGAGGAGTTCAGTTTTCAACATCTCCATTTTGGCATTAGAATGAACGTTCAGTTTCTAACGCAGCTCTAACAACAGATGTTATTTTAGTAGCTCGGCCTCGTGCTGGGTAATTGCCGCACGTTGGGTTTGTCCCAAAAATCCCAATTTTGATCCAACGTGGTCTAGTCTTGATTTGCTGCCAGAGCAACATCAATTGTAAAGTTATGCAAAACAAGGAGGGAAAAAGTTTTTGGTGGCAAAAGATTTTTTTTTTTCTGCTTAGTTTTTTGAGTCGACATCGACATAAACATGTCAGACACTGCTCTAGGAGAATGGTTAATCATGACCTGACATGTTGGCTGCCTTCTCACAAATGCAGCACAGATTACATCAGATTGACTTTATCAGCTGTGCACTTTCACAGGCTCCAGTTTCATGAGACAAACACAAACTGTGCGATGACAGTCTTTTCAAGAAATGATTTTCCAGACAGAGCCGTTCTCTCTGCTCATTTCATCCGTCTGACTGTTTGAACCATCCATCTGTTACAGATGCAGGCAGAGCAGAGCCGAGACGAGACGACAACAAGGTCATTAGATGCAGGAAAACTGTGAATTCTTTGGCCCCGCATATGAATGAGCCCACTCTATTTTTATGATATAAAGTTAGCGGCCACAGCACACGGCACACTGGGGGGCAGTAAAAATCCAATTATGCTGTTTAACATGAGAAGTGGCCGAGCTAATGTCATAAACACTTATGGCTTAGACAACACAACATCTTTTAGTCTCTTTGAAGGCCAGGTGTCCTGAGAGCTTTTCAGACTTCAGACTTTTTATAGAAGTTTCATCAGGTTCAACCAGGACAACACTGTCCAAGAGACGATATCACAGAAACGGACTTTCTGAAAGAAAGATTGAAATCATATTTATAAAACTGATAAAAGGCATCGCAGATCCCGCAGAAAAATTACCCATACTTTTTACTGACATTTTGGAACTTTGGTGTTTTTGCCTAAAGATTACTATTTGACCTCTTTTATTTTATAGTCTACATTTATTCCTACTCATGTACACTTACAAAACCCAGTGATATCACTGTACCAGTAACTCATCATCGTGGAACATAAATTGTAAACCTCACCCACAGCAGTTGTTCCAGCCTCACAGTTCACTCACTGTAAAATCAAATGTAACTGTGAAAGTGAACAGAACAGCTTAAAAGTGCTGCAGCCCAGTTCTTCACTGAGAGGAAGCAGTGCACGGAGGAGAAGTTTTGCAACAGTGCACAACAGTACACACCACTGAAGAGTGCTCTAAATCACTGCAAAGGAAATTCCTTGACTACCACAAGCCCGGTGGTGATGTGTATATTTTGGCCAAGGGGTGAAAAATACTTGTTAACAACCAGAAGTGAGGAGACTGGGAGAGGTGAGGACAGGGGAGGATAAGAGAGGACGGGAGAAGAGAAAAGAGGAGAGGAGAGGAGAGGAGAGAAGGCAGACGGCTGAAAAGAGAAAAGATCAGCATTTCTGCTCCAAAATAAACAAGTTTGACCTTTAGAAAAACTGTGGTTAAATAAAGAAATGTAACAACTGAGGCTGACTGAAGAATGAGATCAAATAGGTCTGTGGTTTATTGTACTGCGTTTCTGACCTAATTGCTCGTGACACTGGTTTAACAAACGAGTGGGAATGAAACAGTAAAAGATAAAAGAGTGAGAGACAGACAGTGAGAGACTGGGATCAGGATAAACTGAGGAGAATTAGAGGGACACTAATTACTGCTGATTACAGCTGACCTGTCGTCCCCCAGTCTGGTGTTGGTGTGTTGGTGGGAACATTTTTGAACTGGGAATAACACTGGTGTTTAACATCAGAACCACCAATCAGGGTGCCCCCACCTCACACCCCTGTCCCCCTCCCCCACCCCTCTCCTTCTCATTATCTCTGCAGACCAGAGTAAACTCAGGTGTGAGGGGTCATTTCAGAATGAATCATTCACTGCCATTCATTTCACCACAGTTTAAGGAAGAGGCTTCACTAATGCTGGGTGTATATAATCCATCAGTAAACACAGTGCTGGGGTCAAAGGTCAGTGTGGCTCTAAATTCTTTCAGCCCATGGTCGGGCGGTTCCTGGTGTCAGCCGTAAGACAGGGCGGAGAGAACTGGAGGTCTCGACAAAACCAATCACCTTATAAACTTCACTGCTTCTCTTACTAGAGCGGCTGTAGTTAAAGAGGTGGTAGTTAATTTCAAGCAACGCTAATTTTAATGGGAGGTTTGTGTTGAGTAATAAAGTACCAAGGAGTCTAATTAAAGTGAGACTGCATGAGTTGCAATTTTTGAGTTATACAGATGTGATTCTGAATGACGCGGCTGTCGGCTGAAGTGAGGGTCGGAATTAAAGCTACAGAGATGTTAGGAACCGTCCTGAGAAAAAAGTTCTATGACGGATTATCATTAAAAAAATAAAAGGTAATAGTTCTTAATAACTTCTTAATAACATTTTAGGACATGTCTCTTAAGCTCCCAGAACAGCTTTGAAGAGTTTTATTGCTACACTAAAAAAAAAGCTACTCCAAGTGTAAGCTGCTTTGTTTATTATTAATTAATCACGATTGATCGTGACAGCAGGAAAATGTATTTGTTTTATTTGTGACTACTCTGAATGATGGAACATACTTTCAAAGAAAGTGCTCCTTTATGAGAAAAGATATGGCTTGACTTTTCTACTGAGGATATGCACATCCACACAGCCTGCACTATACACACATATATAAATATATAAAGTGAACTGTTTAAATTATTATTTTTTTCTTTTAAAAGAAACTCTAATTCCTTGAACCACACACAGAAGCAGCCGCTGCAGAAAGATCTGTTCTATAGGAACCATTCTGAAGATACATTCTCATTATAGGAGATGTTTGTGCTCAAGGACAACAGACTGTTGCTACAGAAAAACACTGAATAGAGATATTTTTCCCAGTAAAGTTGACTGATAGTTTCTGCAGAGATTTTTTTTTCTTTTTGCACTGAGAATTTTTAATATCACAATTTTATCCAAGAAGATCTGCTAAAGAGGCAAACCTGTACTGGATTCACCTCCTCTGATTGATGTGGTGCACAAATCAAACACACCTGCCCCACTGAGTGACCCATAAGTACATGTGGAGTATGACTAAGCACTAAATGCTAGCGTCCTGACCGTGGTTCCTGCAGCTGTGATTACCACATACACTTGTAGAGGCAGTGAAGTGTGAAGTGCCTTTCTCCCTGCTGAGACTGCAGAGCTTATTCAGCTCAGTGGCTCAGAGAGCGGGTGAAACCACAGAGGCTGATTGGAGCAGGTATCGTTTGTATTGAGAATTCATGAGCTGTGATTACGGATGGTGGATACAGGGCAGGATGTGAGGGATTAAAGCTCACAGAGTGACATTCAGTCAGGTGTGTGTGTGCAACCAAATACGGAGCATCAACAATGAGCGTGTGATGTTCCCCGACCAACACAACATTTTGTCTGTGTTTGTCAACTGCAGCCGCGGCGGAGTTTGCATTGTTTACACAGCTACTTCTTCTTCGGCTGCTATATTTCGCTGTGACTTCAGTCAGGCATCCTGCTTTATTTCACTTCCTGTCATTCAAACCTTCTCCTTCAGGTAGCTGCTCGTCTACACCAGTTCAAGTCCTCTCTCCACCTGCACTGGTAGCAGGTTATAATGAAAACGCAGCATTTTTATGTCCTCAATTCAGATCAACCATCAACTGTGAGCTTCAGTCTTATTTGCATACAGGCTCCTGACTTTTTCTAATAAGTCTCTGCAGCGGCTGAACCCTTACATGTGAGCACGTGATTGGACAGGTCGTAAACCTGGTGTCCATGAGGGACACGGTGACAGCATTTTACAACAGTTAAGCCCACAATAAAGTCTGCAGAGCTGTGGGAAACAGGCATGTGACTCCCGCACTATTGAATTAACTTGTGTGGGAGAGGGGAAAAAA